CCCCCCCCCCCCCCCCAAAAAAAAAAAAAAAAAAATATCCTTTCCCCCAGGCCTCTCTTTTATATACACCACTTTTTTGTATAGATCCAATATATTCACCCTCTGGAAGTGAGAAATCTCCTCTGTTTTACTAGCCTGCCAATGTGGAAACTCCAGCTAACTGCTTACTCTTACTTCATCTGGGCTATTGCCTCTGCACTTGGACAGAACTCGCTAAGCTGTGACTCTACCTTTCCAGATGCTTCAGGCTACCGTTGTAATGGCAGTGGATCACATGATCAGTGCAGAACATACGCTCTGATTCGCGCTAATTCATTCTACTCCTCTCTTTTCAATCTGAGTTTTTACCTTGGGATCAATCAGTCTGAGCTTGCAGATGCAAATGGCTTTCCTGCTGATATGGAGTTTCTTCCCAAAGACCACCCTTTGTTGATCCCAATCCATTGCAAATGCAATGATGGTTTGTTTGAGGCAGTAGTGACCAAAACTACCATCAAAGGTGAGAGCTTTTATGGCATAGCTGAGTCCCTGGAGGGCTTGACAACTTGCAAAGCCATCAGAGAGAAAAACCCGGGTGTATCACCATGGGAGCTTGGAGAAAAACTTCAACTATTGATCCCACTGAGATGTGCTTGTCCATCTTCATTGGGACGTGCTCAACAACTTAAGCTTTTGCTGTCTTACCCAATAAGTCAAGGTGATACAATTTTTAACTTGGCCTTAAAGTTCAATACTTCTGCAGAAGCTGTTATCTCTGTGAATAGCAACAGATCAGAAGCAACTTTCAAGCCAGAAAGCCTGGTGCCCCTATCAACTCTTCTGATTCCACTCAATGGTATGCCTAATATTGGTTCACTAGCCAAACCCGATTTGGGTTATCCAGCAACTAGCATCCCAGTTGTTAATTTACACAGGAAGAAGTCTAAAAAGTGGAAAATTGGTCTTTATATTGCTCTCAGTGGGATTGCATTCGGGGCAATCATCGCTGTTACAGCAGCCTTCTTGGTGATTCAACGGAGGAGGAGGAAGAAGCAAAATTCCTGCAAAATGGTAGATATGGAGCTACAACAGGTTAGTTTAAGTATTAGATCCAGTAGCAAGAAGAAAGTTTCTTTTGAGACATCCCAAAATCTTCTTGAGCTTCAGATTCTCAATACAACACCACGTAAGGTGGTGGTGGAGATTTACTCTATCAAAGAACTGAGAAAAGCAACTGAGGACTTCAATTCGGGTAATCTTATTGAGGATTCGATATTTTATGGTCGCCTCAATGGAAAGAACTTGGCGATAAAGAAAACACAGAGAGAGACAGTCTCAAAAGTTGAGTTCGAGCTTTTCCAAGATCCAATTCACCATCACCCCAACATCATTAGGCTCTTGGGGACTTGTGTGACCGAGGGTCCTGATTCCTTCTTGGTTTTTGAATATGCCAAGAACGGGTCCTTGAAGGACTGGCTTCATGGTGGATTGGCAATGAAAAGCCAATTCATTGCCTCCTGCTATTGTTTCTTGACATGGAACCAGAGGCTAAAGATCTGTCTTGATGTGGCCACGGGCTTACAATATATGCACCACATAATGAATCCTAGATACGTGCATAGAAACATTAAAAGTCGAAACATCTTCCTCGATGAAGAATTCAATGCCAAGATTGGGAATTTCGGCATGGCAAGTTGTGTCGATGATGATTCTGAGGATCAAAAACCTTATTCGAGCCATATTCCATCTTGGAGTAAAGGGTACTTGGCACCTGAATGCTATCTTCACAAGAATTTAATCACACCGAGCATCGATATTTTTGCTTATGGGGTGGTTCTGCTGGAGATTCTATCAGGGCAAACGCCCATAACCGGGGCAAACGAGAGGGAAGAAGGGAGTGTTTGGCTGTCAGAGAAGATCAAAATCATATTACAGTCTGATAATGCAGATGAGCTGAGGGAATGGATGGACAGTGCATTGGGTGAGAATTATTCATTTGAAGCAGCTGTGACATTGGCCAATCTTGCAAGAGCTTGTGTGGAGGACAACCCATCTTTGAGACCAAACGCTGGAGAAATTGTCGACAAGTTACTGAGATTGGTGGATGAATTACCAGAAGAAGGAGAGCAATTCTCAATTTGTGAAAGCTCTTGCAAACCTCTTGTCAAGGCAGTCGCAAACAATATGGGAATACCAATCTGAGGATGTTAAAAATGAATTGGTATATATTTTCTTTTTTTTTTTACTACGGGGTGTCCGACCTTGTTCAAACTACTCCCTCAAACTGAGTGGCCGGCCTCCATGGCTACGCCTAAGGATTGGTACATATTTTCTAGTAATTCACCAATTATGAAAAATTAAGGGTCTTTGCTCTTGCTCTCCTGGTATCATCAGTGATATGGGCAGTGGGATTCTGTAAAAACAAAAATGGGAGGTCCACTGCACAAAATTTATCGCTAGCTGAGGGATTCTGTATAATATTGTAGTTTAAAACCAGAATAAACAGAAATAGCAGGCCTTTTCTTTGTATTTCCTTCAAGATATATCTCATGTTATTTGAACGAGTAGACAGAGACATTTTTTTCTAACTGGACTGAGACATTGATGGATAAATTATACTCACACCCCCTTACACTTTGATTTATTACATGGACAACCCCTTACATTTCAAAAATATTTTAATTTTATGGAGAACTATTATGTGATAAATTTATTTGAGAGAAAAAAATTCTAATATTAAGACTTCTTGTTATTCAAAATAATACCATGATAGCCTACTTTAAAACCACGATTCAAAAATAAGACAAAAGTAAAATGATATGCGATGTAAAAATAGGCAAAGTTAGCTAGAACTTACTTTTAATTTAATTAGTTGGTGTACATGTGCCTCGCACGTCAACTATTTTGGCTTTTTATAAAAAAAAATAGATAAATTGAACAAATTTTTTTTATATTTATATGGAGATGATTATTGAATTTTATGGAACTCACTTGTCCACTTGTTTGCTTGTTAGCGGACGACTTTACAAAGATTCACTTTTGACGTGAGATAATTATTACGTTTAAGATTTTTCTCGTATTTTGGGTTGTATGAACTGAATTGCATAAGGTTAAAAAAAAATTGAATTGCATTTAAAAACTATAATGTTTAATTTCAGTAAGTGATTAATAAATGAATGACTACTGATTTTTTGGACTAATTAAAAATTACTACAATAGGTTATTATTGTCTTTTTATCTTTTTAAAGATAATATTATCAATTAAATTTTTTTGATAAGTATTAACATTCAAAAGTACTATATAATTTATTAGAACTATTTAAATATTTATTTTTTAGTGAATTTGAATATGCACTACGTACCTACAAACATATATTATAATTTGGTGATTATTTAATAATATTGAGTAGAAATTTATGTGTTTAATGTTAAAATCGTCTCTAAGTAATTTATTAAGATTAGAACGGATATTTATTTTATTGGACTCTCATATGTACTATGAAAAATAGAATTCGTTGAACAATTGAATTGGATTTGGATCACATTTTTCAAATTGGATTTGAATCCAATTTATATTGTTTAGAAATAAGATAATCAAAAGTCAAACAATAAATTATTAGTTGAATTAATGCAACTAATAAAAAAATAAAAAATTCTTCAAAAATGGATAAAATAAACATTATATAATTTTTGATACATAAAAAAGAAAATAAAAAGTTTTTTCTTAAATTACTTTAAAAAGGATAAATAAGAAAATTAAAAAAAATTTACTTAATTAAATTTCTCAATTAAATGCTTAAGTTTAGATATAAATAAGTAATATTTTCCGGAAAAATAATAGGATGCGACCTATTAAATCCACGTGCCGTCCATAGAACCACAAACTCTTCTAGGCGCGTGTTGATCAACAAAAAAAGTAATGGCATGATCGTAATTATGGACCCCAAGTAGTGCCAGTTGAAAATGATTCTCGCCTCCAAAACCTCTGTTGTGCCCCTTTTTTTCTTTTTATTATCATCAAAAACCCTTCCTCCGCTTCTCCTCCTCCAGCGCCATGGTCGTGCTCAGTCTTCTGAGAGGGGCGTTGCCACCCCTAGGACGGCTCACTTGGCGGAGCCGAGCCTATGGATCAGCGGCTGCGGTTCAGCTCCACCATGACTACGACTATGAAGACGACGAAAGCGAATTGAATAGTAATCGGAATAGGTCGATGGAAGACTCAGACGGAGCAGTGTTGGGGAGGGGAGTACAGTGGGTGATAATTGGGGACCCAATGGCGAAGAGGCACTTGTACGCCGAGAGGCTCTCGAAGCTTCTAGAGGTTCCCCACATTTCCATGGCAGCCCTGGTTCGTCAAGAACTCCACCCTCACTCTTCACTCTACAAACAGGTTTGTTTCTTTCTCTCTCTTTGATTGTTTTAATCTTTTGCTCTCTGTTTGATTGCCAAGAAATGGACTCTCGTTGAATTTTGATCAATTCTTGTACTTCAGCATTTAGAATTGTGGAATTCGCTTAGTTAAGAACACCGACGAAATTGGGAAATTGTTATACCAAGTGTTGTTTGAAAATATGAACTTTTTTACATTCAAGGACTCCAGAAGTGTTTGTGTGTGAACCACCCACCATCTTCATAGTCTTCGTTCCATTATTTTTTATGTCTGTGTCCTCGAAAGTGTTAAAATTTTCAGCTTTGTTTTAGTTATGTTCTTGTTTTCAACTTTTAGATTGCGAATGCTGTGAACCAAGGGAAGCTTGTTCCAGAGGATGTGATTTATGGTCTATTGTCGAAGAGGCTGGAAGACGGATACTGCAGCGGTGAAACTGGGTTCATTTTGGATGGGATTCCTCGAACTAGGGCCCAAGCCGTAAGTTAGAGATTTTAGAGTATTCTTTTTATTATGCCACTTATGTTGTATTTTTGTGCCTTTACCTATTATTCCATTTGCTTGGTTTTAACTTTTAAAGTTTACAATATCATCAGAGTTAAAAACTATACATTTAATATGAGAAACATAGTCACCTCTATGTGCTTACTTTTCTATCAGAACAGTTCAGATGGTAAACTTTTGTAATGTTTTCTCTGGTTCCCTTGACATTTCTGATGAAAAGTGAAATTGATATATAGTCTGAGAGGAAGAAGCATTGCTCTTGTTATAACCTGATTTTATGAGTGACGAGAAGTCCTTATATTGATTCTCTTTGATATCAGGGTTTTGGTGTATAGTAATGATTTTGACTTCTCGTGTACTACAGGAGGTCCTTGACCAAATTGTTGTCATAGACCTAGTTGTGAATCTCAAATGCACAGAGGATTTTTCGGTGAAAAAGCATTTGGGAAGTGGAATTTATTCCCATGCTCAAGAATATCTTAGCATGGGCAGCTCTGGGCTAAATTTAATTCTACAGTCACGCGACGATAAGATGAAATGTTCTAGTATTGGAATTGGTGTTCAGAAAGAGAAACTACAAATTCATGCAAATCAGGTACGCCTTTTCTGCTGGACTGGAAGCTAAGATGCCAATATGTGAGTTTGAAAAAGTTAAAATATGATTGCAATTGGTCGTAGGCATGCATGCATAGCAGCATCATTACTGAAATTTTCCTTCTCATGTTTGATCTTTTATTGTACAGCCAATTCCAATGGACTACTGTAAGCTTTCTAAGTTGAGTTAGGATGAATTTGATAGCAGAAATCGTTATCTATGAATTCCTTTCTTTTAACTCTCATTTTTTTTTTTATAAAAATTTCATCATCTTTTCTATTCATCTTGAATCTTCAATGCAATTAGTACCTATTTTCACATAAATAAAACAATTAATTCAAGTAGGAAGATCTTATGACCAAAAATATGAGGAGAAAATCTTGTTTTCTGGATATGTTACTCCACCATTGCTGTGTGAATCTCCTGGTATGTATGTTTTTATTTTTTAAGTTGAGATATAGTTGCATCTTTAGGTGATTCCTAAAACCAAACAGCTTGACTATTGTGCTCTTTTGTTGTGCTTTTGTAAAATGATTTGTTGTTTTAAAACATGTATTGAAGGATATCAAACTCATACCTGACTACCTTTCCAGTTAATTCTGGCATTAAATACTAACGATATAATTTATCCTCAGATGAAGTCACTAGAAGACTATTATAGGAAACAGAAAAAGCTTCTTGAGTTTCCAGTTGTTGGTGCACCTGGAGAAACCTGGCGAGGTCTTTTGGCTGCCTTGCATCTTCAGCATCTGAGTGCTGTCACTTCTTCACCGAAGTTGACTTCATGATTTGGCTGCCCTTATCCTCCGATTACCTTATCTTGATTCTCAATCCAGCATCTGCTAGTAAATACAAAGAATTTAAGTGTAAAAATGTTAGCTGCAGTTTTGCATATCATTTTGAGTTGTGATGATTTTGGTTTTTTTTTTTCTTTTTCGTGATAAACTTTGATCTATCTTTGTCTGTATTCTTATGACCCTTGAATGAATATGATTTCTTTCCTCGTGCTCTTTTTCTATCTGATTTGAGCCTTAATTTTTACTGTTCTCCCCTCGCCTAGTTCAAAGTATCAAGTATCGGTAGTTCTCTAGAAATTTATTTGTGAAAACATTCCTCTTTTGGATTGGATGGAAAATCTTTTCTTGATCTTATAAGATGTCACAAAAGCATAAGTGATACTAGTGTACCATAAAAAGCCTGCTGTGTTATAGTTACAACGTACACCCTTCAAAAATAAACTAAATTGCATTTTTTGACAGAACCAGGAGTAAAATATTCACATCAAAATGGAAATTTCAGTTACACAAAGAAAGACGAAAAGAAGCAGATTACATTACATTTGAATCAATACGGCCCACCCCTTCCACTACATGCCTTCTGATAGGAACAAAACAAGAAAAGAGGAAAAAGATGATCCAATATTCAAGTATACTTCTGAATAAATACAGTTTCTCATTCATCAATGCCTTCCTAGAGGATATTAATGTCCAACAGCATCTCAACTGCCATTTTCCTTCAAATTCCAGCTTAACATTNAATTAGTACCTATTTTCACATAAATAAAACAATTAATTCAAGTAGGAAGATCTTATGACCAAAAATATGAGGAGAAAATCTTGTTTTCTGGATATGTTACTCCACCATTGCTGTGTGAATCTCCTGGTATGTATGTTTTTATTTTTTAAGTTGAGATATAGTTGCATCTTTAGGTGATTCCTAAAACCAAACAGCTTGACTATTGTGCTCTTTTGTTGTGCTTTTGTAAAATGATTTGTTGTTTTAAAACATGTATTGAAGGATATCAAACTCATACCTGACTACCTTTCCAGTTAATTCTGGCATTAAATACTAACGATATAATTTATCCTCAGATGAAGTCACTAGAAGACTATTATAGGAAACAGAAAAAGCTTCTTGAGTTTCCAGTTGTTGGTGCACCTGGAGAAACCTGGCGAGGTCTTTTGGCTGCCTTGCATCTTCAGCATCTGAGTGCTGTCACTTCTTCACCGAAGTTGACTTCATGATTTGGCTGCCCTTATCCTCCGATTACCTTATCTTGATTCTCAATCCAGCATCTGCTAGTAAATACAAAGAATTTAAGTGTAAAAATGTTAGCTGCAGTTTTGCATATCATTTTGAGTTGTGATGATTTTGGTTTTTTTTTTTCTTTTTCGTGATAAACTTTGATCTATCTTTGTCTGTATTCTTATGACCCTTGAATGAATATGATTTCTTTCCTCGTGCTCTTTTTCTATCTGATTTGAGCCTTAATTTTTACTGTTCTCCCCTCGCCTAGTTCAAAGTATCAAGTATCGGTAGTTCTCTAGAAATTTATTTGTGAAAACATTCCTCTTTTGGATTGGATGGAAAATCTTTTCTTGATCTTATAAGATGTCACAAAAGCATAAGTGATACTAGTGTACCATAAAAAGCCTGCTGTGTTATAGTTACAACGTACACCCTTCAAAAATAAACTAAATTGCATTTTTTGACAGAACCAGGAGTAAAATATTCACATCAAAATGGAAATTTCAGTTACACAAAGAAAGACGAAAAGAAGCAGATTACATTACATTTGAATCAATACGGCCCACCCCTTCCACTACATGCCTTCTGATAGGAACAAAACAAGAAAAGAGGAAAAAGATGATCCAATATTCAAGTATACTTCTGAATAAATACAGTTTCTCATTCATCAATGCCTTCCTAGAGGATATTAATGTCCAACAGCATCTCAACTGCCATTTTCCTTCAAATTCCAGCTTAACATTCTTACAGAGGATCAACCCAGAAACAGTCCTTTTTTAGAATGAAGTGAACCCAATCTGTCAAAGTCATTATCATCACTCACTATTCATCCATACCTTCCGAAGAAGTTGATACCTGACAGCATTATTACTACCATTTTCCTTTGACATCCAGCTGGGTTTAGTCGAAGTAGGTGATACCTTGAAGTTGTCAATGATAGAAATCAACGGTGAATCCAACTCTTCAAGCTCATCATCACTAGTGTGAGATTTCTTGAGAATTGAAGACCCACTTCTAGTCAGCTGAGCCTGGCTTCCAATGTTTCCCAAGATACCTGTGAATGAATCTGCTGAAGGTGGAAGGTAAGCTATAGGAGCTGCAGCACATGGGACGTTTATAATCAAATTTTCCCGAGTCTCAAAAGGATCCTGAATCAAAAAACAACACGATCAAGGTTTACAGTTACTAATCTCTAGTCAATATTGTCATAAGAAATCTCATAGTTCTTGTGAACTTCATGCATTAATATCACTTAAAGAGCAAATGGAAAAAATTTTAAAAATTTGTAAGCAATGGAGCAACCAAGAGTGTCCAGGACAAAAAAACACAGACTCTTTAGAATGGGCTGACCTCTGAATTCAAGGCTTCAAGCAAAACTTCAGGAATTAGGTCTGGACAAAACTCGTCTGGGACAAAAGTGTTAAGAACCCTCCTTATCAGTGGTGCACCAAACATAGGACATACCTGAAAAACATAACTGATTTAACTGAGTAATTAAGGACAAGACTCCATTAATCATGTAGACTTGAGACTGAAATAAAAGGGTTTTACTAGCAAGTATGAGAGTTGAACCTCTTTTCTGATTGACCTACTTAAAAGCATATCCTTTGGAAGCATCATGAGATCACTCAAAGCATTGAGAAGATGAAAAGACTTGAAGGATCTATTAACACATTCTTTTGTCTCTTCACCATCACTATTATCAGGGCCATTCTCATCTTCAAGAGAGTCATCCTCTTCAATACCAAATACATCACTAAGCCATCTCGACCAATTCCCAATCTGTCATCCATGACACACAAAATAGGCTCTTTAGTATATAAATTGTTTCAATTGGGTTATTAATAAAAATAAATTCAATATTTTGCATTGCTTTCAACATTTAATATATTCAGGCTAGTTCGGAGGTTAGCAAAAATGTGTTGGCATACCAAAGAAAATATAGTCTATCGTCAATAGAACAACGACTGGTTGTTTGACCGGCATTTATGTGGCGTTATCCGCAATGAAATATAGTCTAACATCAATATTTCCAAATCCGTCAACCTTTTGCAGGAATTCCAAAATAATAAAACATATGAACTAGATATATCCATACATGAGATAACTTCAAAACACCTACTGCGGAGACTGTAATTTCACTTTGATATTAGTTAGACAGTTAACTTTGTGCTTCTCACCGCATTTTTCAGCTGTGCACCAGCCCCAAAGCTTGCTTTCCCTCCCGGAATGGGAAGAACCTTGGCATCACTGATGGGGTCAGATACTGGATCTGTAGGAAGATCATCAGCACACTCACGAAGGATGGCATTGAACATAGCCACATCCAATCTGGCCACACATTGCTCCATTATCTAGATAAGATAAAATAGATTCATCAGAAGGGGATTCTCCTGAACAGAGAAATCAATCACATGTTGCCACCACTACAACAATCAAACAATCAGGATGCTAACGAGACATTACATTTTCATTGTAAAAACATATGCTGACAATCAATCAGAAGATAATCTAATGCACGGGTGTACCAGGACACACTATACAATTGAGCATGCACACAGGATACTTTTCGAAGTATTAGTTGGATCACAAATTATCTTCTTTTTTTTTTTTGAAAAAATGGTCAACCATGAGTTTCTTGCTCTGTCTATCTTCGTATCTGAACAATATCTCCAATTTTTTTTAAAAACTCTTCAATGAAGCCATAAAAGTTTGATAATCTGACTAGCAGGTTACACGTATGAGGCCATAAGATCGTCATACAATGTATGACCAGAACCATCTTAAATTGAGAGCTTTTGCTGATGGAGTATGCCTGAAATAATGCATATTATCCAGTCAGGAAGATTTCATCACATCTCTGAATTAGCACCTTTACTTTTTAATCTGTTTCATTCATATTGCCTTATCAATGATACCAGATGACATGTCATTCTTTGTTGGAGTATAACATATCAAAGTACCTATTGAAGGGAAAGGAGAAAGGGAAAAGGGGCAATCCAAGAGACTTTTTTATCTACCTGAGCATTTTAAAGGAAAATGGAGCATATAGATTACCAGTCTAGAAAGCACAGGCAAGCAACCACACTCGTGTCCTCCAGCTCGAACAGGACAAATCCTTTCACAGGCATCCCTGTAAGCCTTCTTCCACAGGTCTATAGAGCAGTTACCCTGTTCTTGATCACTTGAACTAGATGTTTTTTGATAGATTTTTCTCAAATCAGAACTTGTACTTCTATTGATTGCATTTGCAGCAGCAGACTGCATATGCGGGGTGAGAGTCTGGATAAAAAGAGCAGCAGTCAGGTTTTCTCCTATTATCAAGTTACATTAGATTGCTCAAATCCCATCCCATTCAATGAAGACTACATAGATATGAGTCTCTGGCGACATCCAGACGACTTTACTACCAAATCCTAAACTCAATTGGTGATTTATACATTTACAGAGATTTTCCGAAAGAAGGCATAAGAAAGCGAGACAACCTGCCACCATATGGATTCAATGATTCGAGAGAAGATCCAAGCTTCAATTTTTTCCAATGCAGTAGTGAAAGTATCAACATCCTCCCAGTCATCAAAACTTTCACATAGAGCACCTCCAGTATCCTTGCTGGGAAATGAGTCAAATGACTCCCATTTAAGTTGAGATAATTCCTTGTTGTTTCCCTTCCCGTCACCAGTGCTCTTGACAAAAGGTCCAGCAGAAAGTTGTAAATTTCGTTCTCTGAAGGCTTGTTTCATAATTCCTCTCAATACAACAGAGTTTGACAACCAGAACGTCAATCTGTGTTGAGCAGTGTATAGAGATTTTTTTAAAAAAAGAGCACATGAAAAGGTCAAAATTATTCTTTGAAAAATATAGATCAAGGTTCCCAAAAAAGCATCAGATGCAACAACTTAAAAGACCCTGAACCCAATCCCCACCCACAGCTTTGGCCAGTTGACCTGCTGCATGATAAGTGGAACACCAATGGATGATGCATATTAAATTGCCATCAGAATCCTATGGCAGAAGCCCCACATTCATCCGATCAACCAAATAAGAAACCATTGTGTTTGGTTAATTGTAACGAAATATCAAACTAATCTAGCAAAAGTTCCCTTGGCATACTATTAATAAGGATGACGTATGGATGGCAAAGGATGCTTTCATGTCTGCAGAAATTACAATTATGTAGAAAGTACCTGGGAACATCATTTCCACATGCTTTTGAAACCAAAACTAATCCTGAAACTGCACTTCTAGCCGCACTTGCCCGCCTTGATGGGGAATCTCCTTTGCATGCATGAAGATACAGCCTAGAGAGACGTCGAGCTGGAGCATGTACCTTATTTGTGGAACTGCCATGCTCTGCAACTATAGAGTAAAGTCCAACCTCAATGGCAGCAACTTCTCTCAACTCTCCTTCAAGCACCTTTATTCTGTGTTCTAATTTCTGGATTTTGCTGTCAGAAATTATGTTTCTTGTATCCTGTGCACAAAAATTAGCATCTTTTTTTCCATTGCTCATAGTGCTTCGAGCACCATTTTGAGTTTCAACTTGAACAATAACATCCTTCACTTTTTCCACAAACTGATCAGTACTGACTGATCCATTGCTCCTAGTTGCGTCCATTGGCGAGCGAACAGATTTTACATTCTTCAATCTGTCACCATTTGGGATATCACCCTTTGTTAGGAGATTTTCCCTACTGACAGAAAGTGTGTCACTTCCTAATGAGAATAGACTTCTGGAATTATCTAGTGAAAATGTGTTCAATGGTTTATCCTCTATATAAAGCATTTCTTCTTCCAAGCCTTTACTTTCGTGTCCATTTTTTTGATGTCTCTGCCTGTTCTTATCCTCTGTAGAACCCTTTTCAATAATATCAGCACTTTCAGACTTATGGAAGCCTTGAATACTAGCATTCGAAGCTTTCTCATCATCATCCCCATTCAATTGAGATCCAACATAGTTTCCAAAGCGCAATTGTTCATCCACCCCGACATCTACATCTGGGGAGGCTACTTTGGCTGAAAAACCATTGGATGTACTTTCCCTAGTGTTCAGTTGAGCAGCGCCTTTAGTTCCATTTCTAACAACAGAACCATTTACCTGAATATCCTCTGCTAGATCATCCTGGAAATTGCTTCTTGTCTTGGTGTTCAACTCTTTATCTGTTCCTCCATAAGCTATGGACAAGGAAGAGGATTGAACACTGCATGCACTAGTTTTGTCAGAGATAAATACTGGATCAGAAGACAAATCTGTTGATGATGAGCAAGAGGAACTATCTTTTGGACTTCCAAGTGATTCGGTCATTGGCTTCTCATCTGATATTGCTAGCCCTTGCTCAGAATCCAAGACATGTTTGTCAATAGCCTCTCCTGGGCCATCCTTCGTTACCTCTTTTCCATTCTGCAATTGATTGCCAACTGGTGTCAAATTACTGGAAACTATGTAAGTTCATCAGGCAAAAAAAACATTATGATCACTCATCAGGTTCACCATCACACCATGCATCTCCCAACAGCATATTTTTCTACAGCTGTCAGGCAGATGCATGTACTATGCTTGTGAACTTTGGATCTGTCTATGAAGCACATATTATCAGGGCCACCTCAGAAACATGCCAAATCAATTAATATGACATTATTAGAATAACTGGAGAATCCAAATGAAATATTGTTAGCACTACAAGAATTCTGACAAGCAAGAAACATACCTCTGGTTGTTGAGGACGTGAACTCCCATTCCACTCGATAGCCGAAGAAGAAACAGCCAGTGAAGAGTGCGAGGAAGCATCATCGTCAGTAAAAGAGGCAATCTCAGCTTCTCTAGTATATTCTTCATTTGTCAACGCAGAACCGTATTCACCACCATTCCTGTCCAACTTAGCTTCTCTTATCAGACTATTCGAAGATGAGCTGACGTGACTCTTGTCAACTGGCTGGATTTTGAGGAAGAGAAGTGGCTGTGCTGTGTTCCCATAACTCCGCTTGCAGTTAATGGGGGCACTTATGCTTACACTCTCTTTAACAACACCATAATCTGCCATGTCTACGATGGCTATTCCCAATAACTGACCTTTCAGCGTCTTATCCCTACGAGGTTCATACAAATTAAACTCAATGTAATTCTTCTGGAACGTCTCCCTATCGCCACCTTTAATGGACATTTCCTTCAACAGAGTCACAGGAAGCCTAAAAATCTCATTGAATTCAATCCTCCCATCCCCAACACCAGACTCATTACCAAGTAAAGGGACAACTTGATTAGTAGACCCTGAGTTCTTTTCACCATGTTCCCATTGAATTAGAACGGAACGAACCGATCTTAATGATTGAGATGGGGGCCAAGGCTTAATCTCCTGAATATGTATCAGATAATCAACTTGAACTTGAACTGAGGGGCTTTTCCTTTTTTGTTTCCTTGGTCCCAGAAACATGGTGGCAGTAACAATGTTATTCCTTCAAATGTTCAATGCTATACCAATTCCTGTACAAATTCAAAGACAACCCCTATAATCCCAGAAACAACACACATATGACAAAGTATGCATTCTAATTTAAACATTTTTCACTTGCACCTGTTCTTTATAGTGTGTGTGTGTGTGTGAGAGAGAGAGAGAGAGAGTTCACATTTGATTACACACACACACACATTCAGAAAAAAATTAAAATAATGCAAACAATTTTTCAGAATAATTAAAAGGGATAATTATAGCGATTATCAGTAAAAATCTCAGCTCAAAAATATTTATTCTTGAATTGAAATCAGAAGTGTCTGAAAAACCAGTTGAGAGCAGGAAAAAAATGCAAAACTAATATACATTTTGATCATTTTATACACCAGATCCAACAGGAACGCACGGAGACACTTAATCAAACCAAGAGCACTCAGTCACAAGCTCAAACCATTACAGACCAAACAGGCACACCACAATGAAGCATCAAAGACATGAATTGTATACAAACATGAGTGTCTAAATCTATATATCTTTATATAAACATGTCTGTCCATGTTTAAATGAAAGAGTTCAGTGGAAAATATTCATTTGATCTTCACCTACCTCCAGTGTCCTAAAAATCGGTGAAATGTGGAAACGAGGAAGGCCGAAATGTTTCTAGTGGCATCTAAAAGCGTAGGCAAGAGTCGGAGAAAGAGAGAGAGCTATTCTGTGAGGGCGGTGAGTGGGCGGACAATACCCAGAATGTGTGTTTCAATAAAATGAAATACGAGATTGGTGGCGGAGCCGACAAAAAGATTAAAGAAAGTGATTTGATTATTAATTAAAAAAGAGGGCCAGTTCAGTTCTGTTCTGTTCTGTTCAAGACGACAAACATTTGTTTTTCTATTGTTGGACATGACTACTACGATGATACCCAACCCATGTATTCTGCCCAAATTAATAGGTAACACTTGATTTCAATTTCAATTATTCCAACTCTTTTCTCTTTTGAAGTCAAAATAATAATTAAAATAAGGAAATCAATGACGTCTTGCGTTTGTCTAATAGCATTAGTAATTTATTGAGTAATTATCATCCATACTCTCTATAGATAAATATATTTTTAATTAAATTACCTAAAATATAATTTATATTTAAATATCACTGATACTTCCTACCATTAAATTATTGCTTCTGGCAAAAAAAAATCTAAAATACAAAAATTACCTCTAAATAATTCTCAAATAATCTTTGTACATATTAAAATTTTAGTCAATTAAAATTTATTTTTTACGTATTAAAAGTTGAGTCTATTAAATTTTATTTTTTTTAAGTATAAAAATTCGAGCCGATTCAAGTTCAACCCTAGATGATAGTGCTAATTAATATTTGATTCAAGCCAATTAAAATTCGATTCAAGTCGATTCAAATTCATTTTTTATGTATTAAAATTTAAGTCAATTAAAATTTATATTTTTTATGTCTTGAAATTTGAGCTAGTTAAAACTCAATTCGAGTTAATTAAAATTCGTTTCTAGCCAATTAAAAACGATTTTTAATTGGCTCAAATTTTAATACGTAAAAAAAATTTAATCATCTTGAATCGAATTTTAATTTGCTCAAAGTTTAACGCGTAAAAAAATATAATTTTTAATTAACTTAAATTTTAATACGTAAAAAATAAATTTTAATTAACTCGAATGGAATTTTAATTTGCCCAAATTTTAATATGTGAAAAAAATCAAAAAATAGAGGGAGTCTTATTGAAGATATATCTATTTAGAGGAGGTATAGATGAAGTTTTTCCTAAAATATATCATAAGTAATTTAATAAAATTGTATTCTAATTAATGTCATTAATCTGACAGGGGTATCGATGATATTTCAGATAATAAAGGGAGCTTCATTGAAAATATGTCTATCTAGAGGGGGTGTCAATAATAATTACCCTAATTTATTTAAGTAGAGATTATTTCCACTAATTAACTTCGGTTAAGAATGTTCATTTGAAAGAAAATAGTAAGTTGTACGCAAGACAGAATATTTAGTCTTGGGACATAACTTGAATGCATTAATGTCAGTTCAATTTGATAATCTTATTCAAATTAATTATTAATTCACTAATTTTGTATCATATTAAAATTAAACTTGAATTTTAGCTCAGTGTTAATAATCCTCGAATTTAACCCTGAATTGCATTCAAACCCCAACTAAACTCGAAAATTGAGCTCAAACTTAACAATTCAATTTAGTGAATTGGGTTGGATGTATCGCCGACAAGTTGCCGTTTCTTTTCAGTCAAAAACACAAACAAGTGAACAAAAAAAGAAAGAATTAGTTTAGTAATTACCGTGGCTCATTGCCGTTCCTTTCAGTCAAAAACACAAACAAGTGAACCTAAAAAAAAAAGAGAATTAGTGTAGTAATTACCGTCGCTCATGTACTTAATTTTCTACGTACAAATTAGCGTCTTGTTCTATCCTTGTATCGACCTGGCATCAAGCATATGTTGAGAGGGCAACAAAACAGAGCAGAGCAGAGCAGAAAAACCAAAACTGATCGATCAGTTGTCCCTATCACATTCAAGTTGAGCCTGCCTGAACTGTTCCTCCAGCAGGTTTGAGGCAATAGCCAAGGAGCACCCCCTACCACATTTTCCGATCATTTTGCTTAATGGGAAAGGCCGCGAGCCTCCAGAATGAAGCATGTTTCTTTAGCAGCGGTCAGCAACACGACATATTTGCATAACACCTTTCATAACGGTAATTTGAAAAATAGATTAAAAAAGCATGGTATTGAAAAAAGAGCAATGCTATCAGGACCTAATTCATTATGACCTTTGGATTAACTGTGAGTTCCATCAAAAATTGAAATTTGGTATTTATCCAATGGTTTCAACGAAGTCACGTCATTAGGTCATCAAATTATGTCAGATTTTTAGGTCCAAATAGCATTTTCCTTGAATAAATAACATAGAAAAGAGACGGTAGATTGGGGAAAAAAAACCCGGTCATATAGTGTCCCAAACATAAAATCATATGCATATTGTTAGAGACTACAGCAGCAAGGCCCAGCAGGATCTTATTCCCAAGCAAATGAATGGGGTTCATTACACTAGCAGCATACCAAATATTTGCAGCAGATATGATGCGTATTGGGGTTAATAACTTCACACCTGATAACTCCCATTTCACCCTCAAAAACATACATTCACCTCACTGTTACGCTATGCTTCTTTTTCTTTAACTCAACTCAAAAAATCCTTATCCCAACTATTTGGGGTTGGCTACAACAATTCTACTTCTGATATGCTGTTTTCTCTCTCATCTGAAGATTTGTTAAGGTCCTCAAAAAGAGACAAAAGGAGGGTTTCATGAAAAATCTGGAATACCAGAAGACTGATGCTCAGCCTTGAGTGATTTCCTTTTCCTTTGCCTTGCACATATCTTCTGCTGATTTGATAAACTTCTTGGTCAAATCATCGATCTGGGAAAGAGAAAAGAGTCAGATAAATCTAAATCAATTAAAGCCCAAAAGTTTTCTAGATCAACTATTGACAAACTACTCACTTCTTTTTCCAATCTTTTTGCATCGTCTCCTGAAAAACTTGAACCTGCTTTATCTTTGTCCTTCTTCTTGGGCAGAGCTTTCTTAATTGTGTCCAATGCCTGCACATCGCAAGTCAGTCTGCTTAGACAAATTACCAACACTGCAGTGTTGTCCGGAACAAATAACCTACAGATAATATTTCCAATTTGCCCAAGTGTGAGCATTTCTTCTGATATTGTACACAAGTATACATTCATCAAATCTGACAGCTTGTTTTTGTTACAACATTACAATGTCAGACACACACACACCAGTAATTTAGAAACAAATGCCTCTTCTTAAAGACCATCCAGCGGCACTGAGATTATAAAATCTACTAAAGAGATGTACGCAATCTAAACAAAGGATCCATGAAAGATTAAATTACTCATACTTAACCACTATACTCTACAAACAAATTTGCAACTACCATTAAGACAGGTGATTTTGTTAGTATAGAGTTCAAGCATTTCTGCACTGAATGAATTATTGTTGCCAAATATGCACCTATGTAGGAAAACCTTCAGCCCAAGAAAGGAGAGAAAACAAAAGCTATACCTTTTGGCGAGTTCTTCTTATACTTTGCTTCACATCTTCAGATGATTTAGCCACCACTTTACACACAGCCTGGTACAGAGATGGGATCAACTTAGAGGCCGTTATACAGACATAACAATTAAAGAAAAAAGGAACTGAATGGAAGTTAATTTCAATCTAACCTGCATATGCTCCTTTGTCAATCTGCTCAGTGGATGCATTATAAAAATTAAATCAGCCAATTAATATTGGTACATTATGCATATTATAAACTTAAATATGCCCTACTTACAGGGAAAAAAAAACTTAAATATGCCTTGCAAAAAATGAAAAAGACAAATTTTCAATTCGGCAAAGATGTTAAGTTTCATGTAAAAATCTTTCAAGACATTACCAACAATTATATGATGTTTTTCCAACCATCAAAGTTATCATAAGCCTTTAACAGCAACTGGATTCAATCACGCACACACAACAGACTAAATTGACACTAACTAGTTTAAGTTCTTACGGAGGAATAGCTGCAATAAGTCGTTGGTTGTCGCTCTTAGGATTTATACCCAATGGAGATGAGATAATTGCTTTCTCTAATTCTTTTAGGGCCTGTAAAACACAGTCAATCAGTCAAGAGCATACTTCTTTACATCAACAGGATCATATATTATACTTTATCCAAAAGTTGTGACAAAAATTCTCATAAACTCATCCAAAGCAAATTACACGCAGAAGAAAATTGAGAACCAAGCAACAAGTCCTTGACATTTAAGTATCATTTACAGCTCGAATTTTGCTCAGGCGAACACTTGAAGTGAAAAAGAAAATCTGTTACCTCAATGCATAGATTTATGTTATTTGAAAAGGAGATCTAGTTTCATATACATATATAATACATAGTAGGCCACAGAAGGAATATGTACAAAGAACTTGTTCAAGCAAAGCAAAAACCAATTACATTTGGATCATAAGGAGTAACTGAAAGGGTTTTTGAATCTAGCACTGAAACAACAGCAATCCTGCTAAGGGGCATCTTCACTCCACCAGTTTCTACAATAATGTGGTCAAGCATTCCTGCAAATTGAATATCACCAACATTCGAGTCAACGAACTCCATTGCCAAAATCAAAAGCACGTAAATGACAGCCAAACTCAGCGACATACCAGCCGATGCCCTTCCAGTTCGCAATTTCCTCAGTTCTCGTGACAATGCCTCAAGTGCGGCCTCCATCTGTGAGACAGTAGCTGACTTAACACTAGGACCAATATTCACAGTTCCAACACTGTTCCCCTTATCATCATAATCTTCTTCTTCTTCTTCTGAAAATTTGAGACAAAGGAAAACAAATGGACCCATTAATTCGTGCGGCTAACTTGCCAAGTGTTGTTCCTTCTCCCTCAAAATCTTGAAAATTTCAAGTCCTGATGCTTAGGAAAAACAAAAGAATGTAGAATGGGAATGTAACCTATAAAACGAGATCAAAAGTGCCTAATTTGCAAAGTGAAGTCAACTAACCAGATATTAAGCAGATACATTACTAGAGTATGTGTGTGTGTGTGAGTGTGAGTGAGAGAGAGAGAGAGAGGTTTACTATTTGGCTTCCTTCCTTTGGCAAACCCTCTGCGGCTCTCAAGGAGGAAATTGATCGCTGGCGAATTCGGAAGGCTGCGAGTAGTGGCAGAGTTGCGGAGATTCGGAGAGAAAACTGAGTATGAGAAGTGGCGAGAGTGGAGAGGGGTCGTTCGAAGCAGAAGAGAGAGGTTGCGATAAGTTGATGATGATGTGCGTCTGAGCAAAACCGCCATTGTTGATCGATTGTGTAATCAGTATCCCCTGTTTCTCTCTATACTACGGATGTTAGGGTTTTATTAAACCCCTGGTCCTGGTGTGTGTGTTGGCGTCTGGCTCGTCTGCAGTTAAGATATAAACAGCACAAGGTGCTGTTAAGTTTAACGACGTCGTTTTGGGCTTTACAAATCAACAGCACCTTTGCATCAACTGCACAGTGAATTCCCTCGTGCCTTGGCGCGTCCAAACCGTTGAATTTCATTCTCTCCCCGCCAGACTAACTTTTTCATTCTCTCCACATTCAAGATACTTGACTCTCTCTCTCTCTCTCTCTCTCTCTCTGCTAAACAAATCAAGCTATCATTGATAGATGAATACAGAGAAAGGGTTTTGGCAAGGGACAAAGACAGGTAAATAAACCAAGTAAATGGGCAGCCATTTTAAATTTTTTCACAATTTAAAATAAATTGGCTTTGATTCCAAACTCCCTCAATTCTTGAAGCAATTCCTTGTGCTTGTCCGAAATCACAAATAGAGGGAGCTTCTATTTCCTGGGTCTTCAAGGATTTGGACCTGCTGACATTTGGGGAAAGATTCCCTGCCTTTGCCACCGAAGAGCCCATCCTTAACCATGACTTGCAGCTCGCTCATGAAGCAGAATAATGTTGCTTGTGGAGACAGAAATAATGGGTCGTAAAGTTTCGAATTTTCACAATGAGATTTGTGCGAGAGTGTGTTTAAATTAGATGCACATGGGTGGGTGGAGCTAGAATAAGTTAGGCTACTAAAATTGATAAATTCATATTTATTAAAATTATATTTAATACTTAAAAAATTAAAATTTGATATACATGAAAAAATAATAATTAAATTTTTTTATTAAAAATACGATTAATTATTATCACTTACAATTAATCCTAACATATTTTTATTATTTGAAGAGTTACAAATTAATTTTATCAACAATATTTATTTTATACATAAATTGCGGAGGTGTCTATGGGTCAGATTGCCCATAATTTTATTATTCTGCCTGAAAAAATAAGTCTAAAACTTGATAGATTGATAATTAACTTGTCTGAACCCAATATTTAAGTGAAAATTTAAGCCTACCCCTAAATTTATTGCCATGCTCGAAAACTAGCTCAATAGCTTGCGGCAAAAATCCTATTAAGACTCAACCGAAAAATCCACCCGTCTACCAATCCCGATCAAAACCTAAAAAAAAGTTTCAATAATTATACTGAGACCCCTTGATATTTGAATATTTGTGACAACTGCACCCTTTTTATATAAGGGACGTTAACAATTTTATTAAAAAGATTTTTTAATCCTCATAACATTGAGACTAACAAACTCTCAATCAAATTTGTCTTAAAAAAATTAATTGAATCAAACCAATCTTAATTTATCTCCAAAATTCTTTCGTTTATAGTTAATTTCATTCATTAATTTAAATTTAACCCTAAAATTTAATTCTAATTTATACACCATCACCATGCACCACCAATTATCACCTCCACCACCAGTGAAATCCACCACACAAACCCACCAAATTTGCCCCCAAATGCACAACACAACAAACCCACCAAACCATCAATCTGCACCGCCACAACCCATCGTTCAGTGAAATCCACCACCACCACAATTCACAAACCCATCAAACATCGCGAGTCCACCGCCACAATCTACCACACAAACCCACCAAACTCAAATTTGAAAATTGATCTCAAAAATTTGAAAACTCTCTTTGTTTCATTTTGACAATGAAGAACTCAAATATGGAATATCGATCTCAGATCGAGTTTTGAGTTTTTTGGGTTTTGACGGTGATGGCTTTGTTGTGGTGTTGGTGATGTGTGATTGTAGGCAATAGAGAGATGGCTTTGTTGTCGAGTTCCCTCTCTCTGTCTGTGTGTATGTATATATGCATGTATATATATATGTGCACACACAGAGATGAGCTGAGACAGAGAGAGAGAGAGAGAAGACTAAGTTTGCGTCTATATGTATATATATATATACACACTCGCACACAGAGATGAACTGAGGGAGAGTGAGAGAGAGAGAGAAGACTGAGTCTGTGTGTGTGTATATATATACACATGCACACACAAAGCTGGGCCGAGGGAGAGAGAGAATACACCGGAAGGGTTAGGGATCAGGGCCAGGGTTTGGGTTTAGGTTTGAGTTTGAGTTTGTGTTAAACATAAGGGCAAAATAGTATTTTTATTAAAATAGTTAATTCCGTCTAACTATTGGAGTCTCAATGTAATTATTGAAATATAAGGAGGTGTCCGTGTAATATAGCCAAATGTCAAGAAGTATGAGCGTAATTTATCCTTCAAAATTTTAAATATTATAAAAAATATATTCTTTTCTTTTCATGTATTAAATATCCCTGCTTCGAATGATAGAGTTGTACAAATGATAAATAAGTGGTGGGTAGGTGTTAATTTAATTAAGATGTGCCGATTTTATTGTGATACTGTTGCTCCTTATTTATAAATAAAATTATTTATTTTTTATTTTTTATTTTAATTATATTTTTAATTTAAAAATATAATTTACAAAAATATTTATTATAAAAATATTTATTATTTTTAAATAAAATTATATATAAAAAATCATTTCAGTAGCCTGCCCGTTGGCCCTCCCAACAGATAAGGCTTAGATAAACCTATCCAGTCCCCAACCCGGATAAGAGTACCTGTATTCTATGAGGAAGTGATCGTCTTCGAGATCTTCAAGCTCTTCTTCGGTTTTGCCATCGACCCAAGCCTTGTCTTTGGGTTTGAAATCTTCGTTTGCTGGAGTGAAAGCAGGGGGTTTGAATGGAAGGGGCTTGGGAGGGAGGTTGCCGAGTTTTCTCTGAACCATTGTGTCGACACTCCGTCCACGTCCTTGTACACAAAGTGGTAGTCCGCCATTCTCTCTCTCTCTCTCTCACTTGGTGCTTCTGTTGCGTCGGGAGCTTCTCTCTCTCACTTGGTTGGATGATGATTTGGGAAGAAACGAATCAGGGGCCTTCAAACAGGCCAGCTTGTGGATGGCCCCATTCCAGTAGAGTTCGGAAAATGTGGGCTCAACTCAAGGGCCTTCAAAGAAGGCTCGCTCTGGTTGGCCCAACTCAAATAATTCAAGTAAAAATTGGGGCCGAGTATTATTGGATTGACTTATAATGATTCGAGTCCGTTAATGAAATTTATTTAGTGATAAATTTATTTTTTATCTTACTAATAAGTATTTAAATTCACTATTTTTTTAAATTCCAAAAATGCCCTTTCTTGAAATGAGGTTAAATTAATTTTTTACCTTAAAAATTATTATTCCTTAATTTAATATCAATTAAAACATGTCAATAGAATCTTCGTCATAAATTTAAAATGCAAATGCAAAGCCCTCCCCCCTCTCTCTCTCTCTCTCTCTCTCTCTCTCTCTCTCTCTGACCAAATTGTTGTTTCATATTATTTATCTATGTGTGTATTTGAATTCAATGTATTCAACGGGTTAGCACAAAAAGGTCCTTTGAAAAGTTGGTGGATTATTGGATCATTAATCCCTTTTTGTAAAACTGGTGGATTAGGTAGGAATTTTGAATTTTTTTAAAGGTTTTGAGAAAATTGGTCTAGTTTGGTTTGCATTTTAAAAAATAATATCAAAAAACAGTTTTTCAGACGAGTTTTAATAAAGTGATTTTGATATTTTTTGAGATAAAAAAACTTGTTTAGTTAGATGATTTCAAAAACAATTTTACAATACATAAAATAGTAAAATCTGTTTGAACAGTATAAATATATATTTGAACAGTAATTCAAACATTAATAAAAAAATATAAAAAAGTTATTCTTAGATTGACACAATATATATATATATATATATATATATATATATATATATATTTATTTATTTATTTACACACACAGTATATATATATACGTATATTATATATATATATATCCCCATATCTGAAGATCAAAAATTATTCTCCTTACTTTTAAAATTTTCAAAGAAAAATATAAAAACAAGTTACACTTGTTTTCTATTTTTTAATTCAAATCTTATTTTTTTTCTCTAAAATTTTGAGAATAAAAATGTTAAACAAATAGGTTTTTGGTGTTTTTGAAATTTTTGGAACAAAAAACTATTTCCGAGATGATAACTAAACACGGCCTTAAACTCTGAAAATCTTTATCAAATATTCATTTCCTTTGCACCGAGTATTTGCCTCCAATTTTTTCAAATTTTCACTATTTTTTTTTTGTTAAGCATGTTATTGTTTTCTTGTCTGTTTATAATTGTGTCGATTACATGTTACATGTGTTTTTTAAAATATTATTATTTTTTTTGGCTTGAATATTTTATATTACTATTTTTTTTACTATATTACTGTTTTTGTTGATTATATTGTTGTTCATATTACTATTATTTTTAGCATGTTATTATTATTTTTTGAGTATGTTTCTATTATTCTTTTCCTAAATATTAATATTCAATATTACTACTTTTTTTTGTTTTTAAATATTATTATTTTTTGTATTTGAATGGTATTATTATGTGCATTTGAATTTGACTATTTTTTTTAATTTTAATGTTATTATATATATAAAATAATGTTACCGTTTTTGTTAAGCATATTATTATTTTTGTTTAACATGTTACTATTTTTATTAAACATGTTATTATTGTTATTTTTTAAAATATTAATATTGAATATTACTATTTTTTTTATGTTTAAATGTTATTATTCTTTTGTGTTTAAATTGTATTATTTTTTGTGTTTAAATGATATATATATATATATATATATTTTGGTATTTGAATGTTAATAAGTCAATTCATTTTATAAAAAAAAAATCTTGTATTTTTTTATTTACGATTCCTACACATAAATTATGTCTTTTTAACCATATAAGCAGTGCAAATTTTATGCCACTTTACATTTCTATGTGTTCATGTTTAAATTGGATAGTGACATATAAACGTATAATTTATAATTCATACTTGTCACTAAAAGTGTTGACATTTGTCTTAATTATTTTAACTTTTAAATCTTTTGTTCTTTAACTTTTATGTTTCAATCGCACAAGTAATTACATCTGCATCTGCATCTCGCTTACTCAAGTCTATCTACCCCTGCATATTTTGTTAGGAATTTATTTTTTTGATGAAAAGCTTATTTTGTAAAACTTATCTAGATGAAAAGCTTAGTTTGTAAAGCATATTTCTGTAAAATGAAAATTAAGCATGCTTTTGCTTCTAATTCTTGCCAACGGTGGGACATGAAAATCTTCATTTGTTTCGGAGAAAAAAGGTCACGGGCCTTTTGAACTGGCCCAATATCATTGAGCCCACGGATTCTCCAAGTCCTAGCCTCTAACTCTAGAAATAGAAGTGGGCCAATGGCCCATCTTAATCAGTAACACACGGGACGAGTTAAGCGCGAGTGTCACTCAGCTTTTTCAAATAAAGCCCCAACAACAGCCTGCCTGCAAAATTCACAAAAAAAATTATATTTATTTGTTGTTGTTGTTCTTTCTTCTTCTTCTTCGCCTCAAGTCTCTGAAATCGATTGAAATTATCTGATCTATTCAATCGGTTTCAGAAAATTGAAAAGAAAAAAGATGAATCTGAACATGAATTCAGTGGAGTCACTGGTGGCTCAAATCCAAGGGCTTTCGAGCAGTCCCGAAGATATCACCCACCTTCACACCTTTTTGAAACAATCCGAGGAATTGCTTCAGTCCGAGTCGAGTCGCTTCGCTTCTTTTCTCCCTGAACTAGACCCCTCCAAGCACTCTCTCGGCTACCTATATATTCTGTAAGTCTCCTTTAACTCCGTTAATGCGGATGTTTTTTTCTTGTTTCTACTTTATATAAAATTATCTGAATGCGTTTTGGTGAATCTTTACTTGCCTATCTTTGATGGGTTTTTTAAATTTCCGGGTTGTTATATATCAGCCAAGTATGTATTATTTTTATTTAAGGGCTAGGATTTGCGTTTCTTTATATAAAATTTTATCTTTGTGTTGGTGAAACTTTATTTGCGTATCTTTGACGGGGTTTTTGAATTCTGGGGTTGTTATGTGTCAACCAAGTATGTATTGTTTTTTATAGAAGGGCTAGGATTTGAGTTTCTGGGAATTGCCTTTTGGTTTATACTTTATATTACTACTACATGTTAAGTTTTGTGGGATATCTGTACTGCCTCACGCCTGCCCGTGCGATATACACTATCTCATCTTTGGGTAGGCATATTTGTGTCATACAAATGGTAGTCGCTATTATGCTACTGTCTAGGTAATGCGTAATCTGGTAAGTTGTGTTGTTCTGTGGTATATTTGGATGGCGGCTTGAAATCTGTGATGGTGCCCACCATGCATATCATGGGAGGGAGTTTCCATAGAGATTCAGAGGTACCCAATAATTTAGCCCTAAACTATAGTTTACAATTTTATGTAAAATCCATGGAAATTAAATAAGCTCAATGTATCCTGTTTTGACCTGGCCAATGTGGCAAAGCCCTATGATTGATGCAGCACTATTGGACCATCATAGGATCATTGATTAACTTTTATTTGAGAACAGAAAAGAAATGTTTATTGGTTGCTCAAGTTGAAATAAATTCCATCTGTTTCAGGGTTTTTTTTTGAGAGCGGGGGGAAGAACCGAAGAAGTCTGTCAAACCTCTCATATTACTGCCAATCTGCCATACACTGAAATGTCAGCCCTTACCAACGTATGAAAAACCTGGCACCAATTATCTATGTGTGTGTGACGGTGCTATCAGTCCCTCCAGCTATTCATTCACATTTAGTCAGGAGTTCCTTTAAGTTAAAGAGAAACGAAGAAAACAGAAAGCAAAGTAAGAAGATAAAATGGATAAGGACAGCTGAAATTGAAATTGGTGCTCTCATGAGTCATGACAAGCAATCCTTTGAATATTGACAAATTTGTTCTTAGCATGCCAATGGGCAAGTACATAGCTTCATGGTGGGTTAAATCATTAAATTTTCAACTGTAAAAACTAGTAAATGCTGTCAAACTACAATACTAGTTTGACCTTGGAAACAAAAACAAAGAAAAAAATAACTGTTGCCTTTAACATAGTTGATGCAAAAATTAAATTTTTTGAGATTACAATTGTTTTTCTCAATCTGATAGATTGGGGTTTCTTTTTGGCAGGGAGCCATGCACAGCTGCACCGATTTCAAAAGAGCAAGCAAATGAGATGGTTGTCTCTATTGCAAGGTTTATCAGTGAGTGCGCGGTGGAGCAGATTCGTTTGGTGCCCGATAAATGTACTAATCTTTACCTTAAAACATGTCGTATCTGATGTATGTGGATGTTGTCTGACTGAATCTTGCCATTTTCGGGTTGTATGCTGAGTTTGCAGTCATATCTGTTTGTAAAAGGTTCAAAGACCAAGTTATGCTGCTTGAAGCCCCAATGCGGGGTGTGGCTCCTCTGTTGACAGCAGTTCGGAAGCTTCAAACATCCTCTGAGCAGTTAACTTCTTTACATCCAGACTTTCTTCTTCTCTGTTTGTTAGCGAAGTGCTATAAAACTGGTCTATGCATTTTGGAAGACAATCTATTTGAGGTTGATCAGCCAAGGGACTTTTTCCTTTATTGTTATTATGGGTGAGTTGCTTTAGCTTTCTGGTATTTTATTTTTCCTTCCATTTTCCTTGATCTCCTTATTTGCCTTTCATGTTGGATGATTCGGCTTGTTGGGAGCTTTTCCTACTTCTGCTGTTGTGGGTGACATCCTGTAGCTTCTTATCAGCTTTTCCTTGTTTTATTTCGCATCTCTGCTATACTAAAATTAAATCTCACTTTCCAATTATTGCCTTCAATTATAGATTGACTCATGAGTTACTTTCTCTGTTTCTACTTCTGTCTTGAAAAACAAATCAAGTATGAGTTGGCTGAATTTGTTCAGTATCTTTTATTTGGTTAGGTAAGGTGATATTTGCTAATGCTGTCAAAGGTTTAGCCTGTATAAGTCCTTGAACAAGACGACTCCACTGATGTTAAGTCTTGCTGGGCAGATCTTATCACATCATGCCAGATGGAACTGCTTTACAGAATTCATGAAAAAAAAGATTAGATGGACGGACAGACAGACAGAAACTAACCTTCCCTGTTATTTATCCAAAGTGAATGTGGAATATGCATGGAAAACTTCTCTGATTTAGACTTTTTCCTTGTGCTAATGAGGAATTGATGTAGATCGTAATAAAAAAGAATTAGGGATGAGAAGGGAAGAAGAAGGGATGAGAAAAGAAAAAAAAGGGGATGAGAACAGAGAGAATTTGAGGAAGAGGCAATATCAGGATTCAATATCAATAATCTATAATTTAAGTCTAATCTCACAATAAATATGTATCCCCTATATATATATGGAGTTCACAAATCCTATATATGTAAGGGGTTCACAAATCCTATATATTTAAGGAGTTCACAAATCTTATATATATAAGGAGATCACAGACCCTAAAATAAATAAATAATTAAAATCACAACTAAACCCTTAAAAGTTAAAAGAAAATATTTAAAAGATAAATATTAATTACTCTCATGATTAATTTAAAATATCTCATTCGGAGAGTCTTCAAAGTAAAAGTACTATACGAGAGCAGAACGAAGATGGCAGAACACTTTATCTAGAATGAAAGAACCATCAATATCTTTCCATCGATCAGAATAAATGCAAGAATCTCCATCTGTAGCAATGTAAATCTGATCACGTAGCACATCATCTATTTGTCCCGAAATACGCGATGGAAGTGGAAAGATAAGAACTGGAGCAAATGCTGAGGAAGAAACAATTCCACCAATAGAAATACTGGATAACAAAATAGGAGGTTCTGGAGTACCTCGATTAAGTAGCATGTTCTCCAAATAAAAATCTGGACTAATACTAACATACAATAAAAAATTAAGCAAATAAACATTAGATCCAAATTCGAGAATAGAAAAATAATTCCCATTAGACTTGAACAACAAGCATTCAGTGGGACAAGACTTCAACGATAAAGGAGTAACAATAACGGCTGGGTGTTGAAAATAATTAAGTATCAACTCAAGTGAAATTTTAATAATAGGAATAAATTCAACTATTTCAAAGGAAAAGGACTTGAGAACAAAGTTAGATTGACTTGAAATAGGAGATACAAAACAATCACCAAAAGATTCTGAAATAGGTAACTCAATATGCTCGACATCTTTTATAAGTGTGGACTCGATAGACTTTTCAGCAAGTTCCATTACAAGTGGTGACTCAACATTTGACTCCTATAAAGGCTTAAATTCACTTTCTTCGAGTATCGACTTTTGTTGGTATGAAGGAGGTGAGCTCTGATATGATGAAACCGGATAAGGGGATTGGTAGTCGATATGAGTAGCATATTTTTTTGTATGTGAGAGTGTGTCATCCAAATCTATGGTCACCATGAAATTAGGAAAACATACAGAAACAACATGGACATCATTCAAGTAATCATGATACTCATATGTGATGGAATTAAAATTGTAAGGTGTCCTATCACGCTGTTTATCAAACTGTGATTGAGAACCCATCAAGCTATAGTTGGACTTTTTATGAAATTTCTCAACCTTTAGAGCATATTGATAGGTTGCAACTAACATATTAAAAGTGTATAACTTGACTTCCCTAGTAATTTTTTTTCTCAACCCAAGAATAAACTGATTATTGTCAAAGGTTCAACAATGTCACACAAGTACGTGAGATAATCGAATTGGATAAAATAATCAGAGACACTAGAAGAATGTTGTCTAAGATTGAACCATTGATCATAAACTTGATCTATGTAGGAAGTAGGCAAATACTTTTCTTTCAATTTATATCTCATTTCAACCCAAGTGATAGGTGATTCTTCAAAGGGGTCTAGACTTCTTTGGATTGTTTGCTAATACTGCTTGGCGGAACCCTTCAACATCAATTTAGTAAAACGAACGCAATGAGAATTTGACATGCCATGTCAATCAAAATATTTTTCTAAATTAGCTAACCAATCCAAGAATTGATTGAAATCTAGAGTACCACAAAATGTAGAAGGATCTTTAATTGATTTAGCAATAGGTGTTGAGTCCTTGTAGACGTACCTATATATGTATCTCCTATATATATATTAGTCATAATCCGTGCCTGAAGGCATGATAAAATATAAAATTCAAGTGTCCAAAAAATCGATCCCACTATATTAAATTTTTTCAAAATATATTAACTACAAATTAATTAATTATTAAATAATTAAATATATAATAGAAATGAGTGGTTTGATATTTTTAGGGAGGAAATATATAAATGATTACATTGTGATAGAAATGAGTGATGTGATTTGACGTTTGAGTCTGACAAAGGGATGATGAGTGAGGTAAGTGATTGATGATGGTTTTGAGGGAAAAAATATGACTGGGATAAAATTCAAACACACTCCTGTTTTATTATATAGATATATAAGGAGTTCACAAATCCTATATATATAAGGAGATCACAAACCTTAAAATAAATAAATAATCAAAATGACAACTAAACCCTTAAAAGTTAAAAGAAAATATTTAAAAGATAAATACTAAATTACTCTCATGATTAATCTAAAATATCGATCCAATTCCTATACGATCCCCATCAGGAATCTTAAGTGGTAGATGACCTCTTGTAACACTGCATCCCGTTACTGCTGTAACAATATAGGTCGGTGTAGAATTGACAAGCCTTCATACTGTAAGTTTCTTGGTTCTACTGAATCCAATGCTCATCTGAGCTGATAACAATTGTGATCAAGTTTCTCTTAATTAAAAGTGCCTTTAACTCCCTACTTGGAGCTTGAACCTGATATCCTTTTATGCTTAAGCAGCTTTTAAATGATTTGATTAAAGAGGTGATTGTATTTATCGGTTTGTTTAGCTGCAAAAAGCGAAAAACATGAGGTATGGCAAAAAACAGAAAGAATATATTCATTGTAGGACTAGGATTGCTCAAGCATATCATCAGCAAAAGGAAGTCTAGATTCGAGGTTTTTGAAATAGAAAATAACCAACTGCAAAGCATTATTTGTGTAACGATATTTTTGAATTCCAGAAAAAAAGGTCTCTGAAGAGACCAACTGCTTTATCCTGAATCAAGACTATAATAGCTTTCTTACAGTTGTTGTACTTAAGGATATTCAAGACGGGAACCCATTGCCTAGTCCAACATTCGTCCTTATTTCAAAATCAAGCGTGAGTTTTTTAAAGTCAGGACAGCCCTCCACATGCCCGTGTTGTAATTGGAATGTTTCCTTAAAAACAAAGCACCTGCTGCCAATTGATCATACTCTGAATGGGTTAGTCATCTTTAATAAATTGTTGATGGATTTGCTTGATAACTGATGTTTGATTTTGTCGTTTTAGCAAATCCTTCTTCAGCTTGGGGCTTTAGGTGCTTCACCATCAACCAGGAAAATACTTAATGTTTTCATATTTGTTTTGATGGTAGGGGGATGATTTGCATAGGACAAAAGCGTTATCGGAAAGCATTGGAGCTCCTACACAATGTCTGTCAAACTTATAGTGCTCACTTATTTTATTAGTTTTTTTAACTATTTAATGACCAGTTTATCCTAATACTTGCTAATTTTACGTGTATATAGTTGTAAGTGTACATAAATAATTTGTTTAACTTTGACCATCCTCTCCTTATTGTTTACAGGTTGTAACTGCTCCCATGTCTACTTTAAATGCTATATCTGTTGAAGCATACAAAAAGTACATGCTGGTTTCACTCATTCACCTTGGGCAGGTTTGTTTTGTTCTTTCTCACATGCCTACTGATTATATGGGTCTGTAGCACGAGATCATTTTCAAAGAAAGCCACACTCGCATTTCTTAATTGATAGTCGAATGTGAAACGTCCTTTCTAAGGCAATAATTAGATTTCTGACCATGCAAATGCATTATTCTGTTTGATAGCATTGTCAAGGGGGTCTGTAATAGTATATTCTGTTTACCAANATTAATCTAAAATATCGATCCAATTCCTATACGATCCCCATCAGGAATCTTAAGTGGTAGATGACCTCTTGTAACACTGCATCCCGTTACTGCTGTAACAATATAGGTCGGTGTAGAATTGACAAGCCTTCATACTGTAAGTTTCTTGGTTCTACTGAATCCAATGCTCATCTGAGCTGATAACAATTGTGATCAAGTTTCTCTTAATTAAAAGTGCCTTTAACTCCCTACTTGGAGCTTGAACCTGATATCCTTTTATGCTTAAGCAGCTTTTAAATGATTTGATTAAAGAGGTGATTGTATTTATCGGTTTGTTTAGCTGCAAAAAGCGAAAAACATGAGGTATGGCAAAAAACAGAAAGAATATATTCATTGTAGGACTAGGATTGCTCAAGCATATCATCAGCAAAAGGAAGTCTAGATTCGAGGTTTTTGAAATAGAAAATAACCAACTGCAAAGCATTATTTGTGTAACGATATTTTTGAATTCCAGAAAAAAAGGTCTCTGAAGAGACCAACTGCTTTATCCTGAATCAAGACTATAATAGCTTTCTTACAGTTGTTGTACTTAAGGATATTCAAGACGGGAACCCATTGCCTAGTCCAACATTCGTCCTTATTTCAAAATCAAGCGTGAGTTTTTTAAAGTCAGGACAGCCCTCCACATGCCCGTGTTGTAATTGGAATGTTTCCTTAAAAACAAAGCACCTGCTGCCAATTGATCATACTCTGAATGGGTTAGTCATCTTTAATAAATTGTTGATGGATTTGCTTGATAACTGATGTTTGATTTTGTCGTTTTAGCAAATCCTTCTTCAGCTTGGGGCTTTAGGTGCTTCACCATCAACCAGGAAAATACTTAATGTTTTCATATTTGTTTTGATGGTAGGGGGATGATTTGCATAGGACAAAAGCGTTATCGGAAAGCATTGGAGCTCCTACACAATGTCTGTCAAACTTATAGTGCTCACTTATTTTATTAGTTTTTTTAACTATTTAATGACCAGTTTATCCTAATACTTGCTAATTTTACGTGTATATAGTTGTAAGTGTACATAAATAATTTGTTTAACTTTGACCATCCTCTCCTTATTGTTTACAGGTTGTAACTGCTCCCATGTCTACTTTAAATGCTATATCTGTTGAAGCATACAAAAAGTACATGCTGGTTTCACTCATTCACCTTGGGCAGGTTTGTTTTGTTCTTTCTCACATGCCTACTGATTATATGGGTCTGTAGCACGAGATCATTTTCAAAGAAAGCCACACTCGCATTTCTTAATTGATAGTCGAATGTGAAACGTCCTTTCTAAGGCAATAATTAGATTTCTGACCATGCAAATGCATTATTCTGTTTGATAGCATTGTCAAGGGGGTCTGTAATAGTATATTCTGTTTACCAATATGCATAAATATTTACAGTGGTATATATATATTACTATAAGCTACTTCTATTTGATTAACCTAGTTATGATATTATGGCCTATAATGATCTTACTACCACCTTTTTATCTTTGCAAAGGAAACCATCACCATTGTTGCTGTCATAGTCTCTATCATTGTCATATACCTCAAGTACTTGGGTTATTAGTTGTTTGTGTGGGTAGTCTGCTTAGACAAATTTTCTCTATGAAACTTTCTTCTCTTATTATTTGCCATTATTAATATTCCGATTAAGAGGGACTTACTTTACTTCTGATGGCAGTTCTTTCTTAGTTTCCCGAAATACACTTCTTCAGTGGCTCAAAGGAATCTAAAGAACATTTGTCAGGTAATGATTAATGTCTGTGAAAGTTTTGTTTTGCTGATGATTGTATATCACATGCATTTTATCATCAACTTGTCCAGCCTCGAGGTTTCTGTTTAATAATGACGTCTTCTTCTATTTCATCTAAGTGTTGCATAATGAGCTACACATCCAGTGTGCACAGTGAGACTAGATGCTTACAATCTTTTTATGATTTATATTCTGTTGATGTGAAGTTATGCAAGTCAATCTGGGTATCCCAACTTATAAAACTTTTGAGAATTTCAATAGTGGAGAGGTAAGAAGCATGGGTACGGACACTGGATACACAGACACAACATTTCTCAAAAAAGTAGGATACGGACATGTTGGAAACACGTTATAGATAATTGTGTTTTATATATAAAATTATATAATTTACCACAAGTATAGGGATAATGATATATTATTCATAAAAAATTCAGTATTTTGTGATAAATAAATGTTATCTCTAGTCATTTAGTGTGAATGTTTAGACTAACATCATAATAATCAATAATTATCAATTTTTTCGTAGACGTGTACTATACATATATGATTTAAATGATTGTTCTCATTTCAATTGCTCTTTTCTATATCTTTTATGTATCTTTTACTTTTGTTATCATATTTTAGCACAACTTTAACATGTCTAGTCTTGATAATTATATGTTCTCTCGTAGTGTAAGATATTTAATAGTCAATTTTTTAAGATTGCTAATCACATGTTTATTATTTAGTAGTAGATGTGGTTTAAAGAAGTGTCGGACACGTGTCCGAAACTAAAATTTTATTATTTAATAATGAACATGGATAAAAGAGTATTGGATACGTGTCCGAGAAGTGTCGGTGTCCGACACGGATATGTCACCTTCTTGAAAGTGTCCGTGCTTCATAATGGGAGAGGGTTGATGAATCTCTATTGCTTGTTCTATTATCACCAGAGAAGTAAAAACTGAATGTTGAATTCTAAGTGCTGCATGCTGATTTTTTTAATCTGCAAACAATTTGTTAAATACTGAGGTAGTACTAAATTGAATGAAGCTATTTGATCAATATAAGAAGTTGAAGACGGAAAATAATTGACCTTTCAATTTTCCATTCCACTAGTTATTTTGAAATTCATTTCTAAATATGAATTTATCCAATCAAAAACAATAAAGGTAAGTCTACGGTACTAAAAAGTTTTTTTTGAGTACCGTGCCACCAAATATTAATTTTCGGGGTTAAGTTACAAATTTTTGGGAGTCCAGTTTCACTTTTTTTTTTTTTAAGGTTGTTGGGACTGATCCAATATTTTATGATCGATCCTAAAATATTGAGGAATTGATCCCAAACATCTCCAAATAGTTGTGACTTGACGCAAAAAATTATTGCTTAATCTCTAAAAATTGTATCATGATCCAAAATATTCTTGAGCAAACCAGTGAGAAACTTTGGGTGATGATTGCTTGTATTGTACTTGCACACTTAATGCAGATATGGAGAAACAGATATATCTGGAGTAGTAGAGTGACAAAAACTTCATCAATTGATAGCAGCGAAAAAGCACATAAGCCACCCGTTGTTGGTGGTTTCTGTAGTTACATGTGTTTACACACAAAACAGAAACCACCACATATATTCCACTCATTCGGTGCATATCCTTGCAGATATGCAAACATCCTCAGGGTTCTAATTTTTATATATACATTCTAATAGGAGGATAGAACCAATACCTTGCAGAATTTTTTGACAGCTGCTACAAAAACCGAGTAGTAGAACAATACATAGGGTTTGTGGAGAGAGACAACTCAGGTAGGAAATTGATTACCTAAGACCAAGGGAGGACTTGCAGTGGTCTGAATGTAATCGTGTTTGAGACAAAAACAATTGATGTCAAACTTATCAAATTACAGAGGCATAAAATCTGTCTCTCTGCTGAGCGTAGTCCCTCTTCAGCAATAAGTAGGTGGGAGGTTACTTAAATTTTTAAGCCTTTTTTCAGATGCAATTAATCAATTTAGTGGTAATGAATTTTGTTATCAAACACACTTATTGCTTAATCCCTTCAATTTTCAGCATTAAAAGCCCTATCAAACAGCCCCTTAGTCCTTGTATCTTTTGGGTAGTCCTTGTGTGTTTGATATGCTATTTTGATTGCCACCCATTTAGTGGAATGCGTCACTGATGTCTCTATGTGATTCATTAGATATATTTGCTATTGTAATAGTTAAATATTAGATCTTCTATCTGATTTGTGTTTAGTTTTCGAGTTGAATATTTTTATAGATGGCTTTCCATTTTCTCGTGGTTTGTTAAATGATGTCATATGTTGTTTTGGTTTGGTTGTGTTATTGTTTCTTTTTCCTTCCTCTTCTGGTTAGCCATATCTGGAGTTAGCAAATAGCTATAGCACTGGAAAAATTTCAGAACTGGAAACATTTGTGCAGACAAACACAGAGAAGTTTGAAATTGTGAGTTTGTTCTATTCTGGTTTATTCTTTGTTTTACTAGTATTTTGAGATGGAAGGATGAGCCTAAGACGCCAGCGTCTGAAGAAAAGTTATTCTGCTACGTTAATGAATCTTTCACCCACCTAAAATAGTTTTGGTTTATTTCTTTTGTTTTTTAGGACAACAATCTTGGATTGGTGAAACAGGTGGTATCATCAATGTATAAGAGAAATATTCAGAGATTGACTCAGACATATTTGACTCTCTCCCTCCAAGACATAGCCAACACTGTACAACTCAATAGCCCTAAGGAGGCTGAAATGCATGTTCTTCAAATGGTAGTTAGTCTGGCACTCTTCCTTCCTTAATATTGCCATCAGCTGTGGCTTGTGGGTGTCTTCTATTCTTTAACTTGCTATACGAATGTTCAATTTTAGATCCAAGATGGTGAGATATATGCCACTATCAACCAAAAGGATGGAATGGTTAGATTCCTTGAAGATCCTGAGCAATATAAAAGTTGTGAGATGATTGAACATATTGACTCTTCAATTCAGAGGTATTTTATTTTGTGTGATCTGTCATGTTATTTGTCCCACACTGTTCAAATCAACTGGCATTTGGGAGATTGTTGAACAAAATTACCTTTTGAGTGGTGCGGTTATAATTACCGCTGTTTCGCTTTTTCTTTATCCTACTCATCAGTGCTTGTATATGATATTTATAACAGTTCTGTGGTATGGTCAATGGATGGGTTATTTTTCTATTTATTGTTACAGGGTAATGAGCCTATCAAAGAAACTGACTGCTATGGATGAACTCCTGTCATCTGACCCATTATACCTGGCAAAGGTAAGCGTGCTATTAGTCCTCTAGAAAATCTTGTAAATTTTGTTTAAAAAGGTTGCTATGCTTTGGGAGGCATTCTTTTCTCCCTTTTCGGTCAAGTTGTCAACTAATGAGATATGCATATCACATGTTCAGGCTGGGAGAGAGCGACAGCGATTTGATTTCGATGACTTTGATCCTGTTCCACAGAAATACCTCATATGAATCAAGGAGGACCCACTTGTGGACAAGAGATGGTAAATGATGGTGAATGAGATAAATTCACCAAAAATATGAAAGAAAATGGAATTTTCCTGTGTCATTTTGTGCTCAGTGGAGAAAGTAGTTGCATGTCAGAGATGTTGAACCCTGTTTTAAGTTATGAGCATATTGTTTAGAAATGGCCTCTTCCTTTCCTCCTCTAATTGCTAGTTTTTAAATTTCCTTATGCTGTCTTGGATCGAGAATGCGATAGAAATGTGACAAATGTGTTGCAGGCAGTCTGAGCTTTTTCAATTGCATTCGAGGCATTAGAATTTGCAAGAATTTTTGAGATTCAGTTTGTCTTGTGAAAAATTATTTATAACAACAAAAGTGGTATTTTGCAAGTGGAATTTATTGCACATTGTGTACAAAGATTCAACAATTGGGGAAAGACCACAGAAGAATGTATTTGTAGTGTCCCTCCCCCATAAAGTTTTGGTTCTTAATTGTCTGCTGATTTTCCTTTTGCCCTTTCATGCCGGAGCTTCGACTAATTTTCTTTCCGATTGGGTTAAAGAGCAATCATCTATGTCGGGATTAGGATATTAAATGAAGGATAAATTTATCATAGTTTAGTTTCAAGAGATCGTTGAAGTCAAATAATTTATAGTAATTTTAATTTTAATTTTGTGTTTGGATTATGTTATGAAAAATATTACACAACTCAAATAAAATTTAAAAAATTACAATTTAATATATATTGTCTCTTGTTTGAGTATTGGATGAGCGAGTTTTACTGAAAAAAATGATAGGACTTGTTCATCCAATGAATGATATGCATTTAGATTATAATTTTTTGAATTTCATTTAAGTTGTGTAGCACTACTCTTACGTGTGTAGATCTCAACATGATGCTAAAGTATAAAATAATATCACGTGAAAGTTACAAATTAATATAATGTAATAGGTGATAAAATCAATCCTAAATAGTATTAGGATTGAAACAACAAATTATTGTTTGTCATGTGATTTTGGATGAAATTCGATCAAATGATATTTTTACCTTTTTAAAAAAAAATTAATACGATATATTAATTTTTGATCCACTGCCAATACCTTATTCCAAATTTGCACCAAACATGGTGTAGATAAAATAGGATTAAATAATAAGTTGACCATTACAATTGATATAGAATAAATTATAACTAATTATCCAATTTTATACCTTTTTTTAACTAAATTAATAAGGCCATAGGCCAACTACACTTGTGGGCCAAAGTCACGTACGTAACCCAACATCCTTGGCAACAGCAAAGACCCATGGATTGATTGCCGGGCGACTTGCGACAAGTAAAGTTTCATTTTCGCCAATCCAAATCATCATCTTCTCTTCTTATCATTTCTGGACTCTCTGTCCCTTCTTTGTTGGATCTCCCTTTCTCTCAGTGCTCCGACTTCAATAGCCGCTGATCTACTCTGTCCGGCGAGTTATTCTCTCTCTTCTTTTCATTAATAGCTTTTTCGATTGCTGCCACTTACTATGAATGCACATTTATGTGCTTTTTTTTTTACATCTTTGAATTTTTCGTCTTGTTGTATACAGAATAGTTAGATTGTATAATCACAGATGTTGTTAAAAGATTATTGAATTTTATTGTTCTTTTTTCCGCTTATTGAGCTGACAAAATGTTGTGAATTTTGATTTTTTTATCAGTTGAGTGTCAATGTGGATGGTTTAGAATCGGGATATTTAGATGTTAATTTCAGCCTTTCGTTTTAAATGCTTTTATAGTTATAACTCTGTGTTGGGAAGAATGTGGTATTCCGCATATATGGTTAACAGATAGTTAACGAAAAAAAGCAAGAGACAAGAGTACTAAGAACAGAAGAAACAGAGATTGGTTGAATGCTTAAAGGATTACAGTAGTCTTTATCAGGTTGCAAGTTTGCTTTGGGCAAGCGGTAGAGCCTGTTGGAACGAACTACACATATTTCCCCTAGATCTTGCTCAGGGCGTAGCTATCGTTATTTTCTTCTTCACTAAGTAGTCGCTTCTGCAATGTATAGTTTTTTTTTTTGCTGTTTGGTATTAAGGCTTGGTCACTAAGTCAGTGCTTCACCTTTTTTATGTGATATTGTCCTCACGAAATAAACTTACTTGTCTTATTGTTCCACCTAATTTGCTGATACAATTAGTTTCGGGCTTTCTCAAATTCTTGGATTTCGTCTATCCTTTTAATGTGCCTTTGGTAATTTGACAGAGAGTTTGACTATGATGGTTGGACGTAGAGTGATCCACCAGTTACTGAGGGGAAGACTTCAATCTCAATCCACTGTAAGGATCTTTTTGTAGTTTTGCATTCTTCCTATATGGTTAGTGAAATCTTACTGGCATTCACTTAGAGTAGCCTCAATAGTAGTGGTACAAATGCCCGATTAGTACCTCTTGCTACAAATACCCTGATATTTGTGCTAGATTGCCTCGAACTTAAAGACTTTTTGTTGCAGGGAAGGGAAGAAAGACCCACGGGCATTGAGAAGTTACTAAAATGGGTGGGATGTGCATTCTAATGGGCTAAAAGTTATTGTATTATTGCATTGTATACACGTACTACTAAAATAAAAAATATGGACTCTTCTGACTTTCTTCTCATTCTTAGGATCTAGTCGTAGAAATGGCTCCTCTAAGGTCTTGGTCAAGTTTGTTGGGTGTTTGCCATTCTTATGGATTATAGTCAAACTAAGGGGAAACACGGTAATGGTTTAAGCACACCGGTGCTGTCAAATGAACTCAGTTACTCACATTCAACTCGAGCTTGGCTTGATAAAAGTTCATTCAAGCTCGTTCAATGATTACTTCAAGCCAAACTTGAGCATAAGCCATAAGCTCATTATGAAAACAAGCCAAACCCAAGCATTTCCTGCTTGGCTCAACTAGGCTTGATTAGGTTCAAGTATGTGGTTTTATTGCAATTATTGAGTGGTTTTGAAGGTACAGTGGCAAATACATGTTAATAATGATGATTGATGAATCATCCATTGGTATTACCATTTCTTCTAGATTTATTGTCGTTGGCAGGTCCACTTGTTTTTTAGGCCTTGTGCATTCTGGTTGTGCAAAGATATCATAGTCATTGGGGACCATAATCTTGAGGAGCTTTTTTAGACATTGACGGATTAAACATGTCCTGCTTTATACCGAGCCAGCTTGAGCAGATTTTGTTTCTGCTCAAGCCAAGCTTGATCAGAATGGTTTACATTTCACTCGAGTTCGAGCACGCTTGAGCATTGTAAATTACTAGCTAAGACGAGCCTGAGCATGCTGAAAATAGGCTTGGCTCAGCTTGTTTAGCGCTAAAGCGCACTTCAATTTCTTATAAAAAACTGTTTGTGCTGGACTAATGTTGTCATGGGTGGGCAAGAGAAGGTTTGGAAATAGAAACACCGCTAAAATTCTGGACCATGTTATCAAGTCATTCATACTATCTCTGTTTGTGTGACATTGTAGTCATCGATCGGTGGTGGTCATCATCTAGTGCTTACATTCTATGTGGAAATTTGCAGGCGTCTCCAATTTTGTCATCCCTTGTTTCAAAGAAAGATCAAGAGGGGGTTGGATCTGCTGGCATGAAGTCCCTGAGAGCATTTGCACTCGTTGGAGCAAGTGTGTCTGGGCTTTTGAGTTTTGCAACAATAGCATCTGCCGATGAGGCTGAACATGGTTTAGAGTGTCCAAGCTATCCTTGGCCTCACCAAGGCATTCTCAGTTCATACGACCATGCTTCGTGAGTTTCTGTTGATAATTTTATAACTATATATTCATGTTTTGCACTTCAGCATAGCTAGACCCTGAACATTGGGTCAGATATGAACTTTTATGAACTCCTTCGAAATTTGACGAAGAGTGTAACCTGGTCAGGAATTAGGTGCATCAGGCTTCAATCTTTAGAAGTTGGTTTCGTTTGTTACGTATCTTGGCTCAATCACCTATTTTGGGTTATGCATAAATCATCACGTCTTTTCTTGCAATTTCAACATACAATACCCTCATTCTCTTTGAATTGCAGCCTTCAACTTGACGTGTTATACTCCCTATTACTCCAGCATTTGTTCATGATTTTCTTGTTTGGGATTAGTAAGCTGTTTCATGCCACTGTTAACATTCACTCATGGTTGATTGTATACGGACAGGATTCGCCGTGGTCACCAGGTTTACCAACAAGTCTGTGCGTCTTGCCATTCGATGTCCCTGATTTCATATCGTGACTTGGTTGGTGTGGCATATACAGAAGAGGAAACAAAGGCTATGGCAGCTGAGATTGAGGTGGTTGATGGGCCTAATGATGAGGGTGAGATGTTTACCCGCCCGGGGAAACTGAGTGACCGTTTTCCTCAGCCATATGCAAATGAACAAGCTGCTAGATTTGCAAATGGAGGGGCCTATCCTCCAGATCTAAGTCTCATCACCAAAGTAATTCCTAGTTTCCGGTGTTAATTTATGCGGAAGTTGTGAGAAACAACAGTTTCTTACCTTTTGTCCTTTCAGGCTCGTCACAATGGTCAAAACTATGTATTCGCCCTTTTAACTGGTTACCACAATCCTCCTGCTGGTGTTTCCGTAAGTTCTACTTCCGAAACTCATTATCTATGTTTCTTTATGACCTTCTAATGTATAAGATTAATGTTTACTATAAATAATGAAACCATTTGCAACCAAACAAAAATGTTCTGATAATTGTATGTGGTTAGTGGTACTAGAAAAAGGTTACGACTTTTACTATGTGCTGCTCCTGAGGAAAAAGTGTGCTGAAAGTTTTGCAAACTGTCTTAGGATTTCTTCCCATAAAGTTAATCTGTATTTCATTTTTTTGCTCTTGGATCAGCCTTTTTTTTCTGCATCATTGGAGGGCTGGTATTTTTCAATTTATACAAGCTGATATATTCCATGCCAAGCTCGGGTTTTTGGGCTCATAACCAAGCGGGCAATAAGTGGGTTGTTTATCCTGTCCTTGCTTATCAGTGCTAACCATGGCTTTGCTGGCCTTATACATAATTGTGAAGAAATTCTCCATGGGAATTTATCCCCTATCTTTGATAGGTTGGACTCTGGTAGTGCATGCCACTGCCCTTTGTCTTTACTGCTATGCACATCACAGTAATGAGGCCGTCATAATGGATAGGCAATTAACAAGTATGTTTTGATCAGAAGCTTTCATCTGAGGCATGGTAAATTTGGATTCTTTTTTTGCATCATCAGTTCCATACGACAAAACATCTCTGGTTTAGGGGAGGTTATCTTGTTTTTAAGAGTTTTTCAAAGGAAATGATACTCATTTGGTCCATTTTTGTTTTGGGATTTGAAGGGAGAGAATTTCCTTTTCACACTGTCACTGCCCCATAGACCTTCTTCCTCTTCATGCTTCCATTATTTGTCCTTAAAGGTGTGCGTATTTTTTGAGCTGATTTTATTTGATGAAGAAGCTGACCTGTACTCATAAAAACGATAAAAATCGCACTGGTTTATCTATTTCCACATATTACCGGACACTGTTTATCTATGTGCGTGACCTTGCTTATAACCATTGGAAGTGTGTTTTGTAGATTTTAGGCATTGTCCAGCAACTGTGCTTAATCAGCCAGGTTTGGTGATATTGTAGATCCGAGAAGGACTGCACTATAATCCTTACTTTCCTGGGGGAGCTATTGCAATGCCCAAAATGCTTTCTGATGGCGCTGTGGAGTATGAAGATGGTACCCCTGCAACCGAAGCTCAGGTTAGTTTCCCTGTCATTTAATGCTGGGGTAATATAATGCTCGTAGTTTCAAGATTTATTATTATGCTACTTATCAAATGACTATATGTCTATGTCATTGTGGTGAAATTCTTAGGGTTACTAAGCTTATGTTCCCTCCCAAATTTTATTGCAGATGGGGAAAGATGTGGTGACATTTCTATCATGGGCTGCAGAACCGGAAATGGAAGAGAGAAAACTCGTATGTTGGCTTCAATTCAGTAGAAATAAAATAAACAGCGGCAACAAAAAAAAACATAAATATAAGAGTAATGTTATTTAGACTTGAAAATCTTACATAATTTGTTGACATAATAATGCGACTTTAGTGAAACCATTGGATCAACACCAAGTTTCAATGTTTGATGGAGTTCACAATCAATCCAAAGATTATAGTGAATTATGTCAGCAAATTAGGTCAATAAATTAGGTCTTAATAATATTGCTCTATATATAAATAGTGGAAATTAATTTCTGACAGTGTATGCTTCTCTAATGCAGATGGGATNACATAAATATAAGAGTAATGTTATTTAGACTTGAAAATCTTACATAATTTGTTGACATAATGATGCGACTTTAGTGAAACCATTGGATCGACACCAAGTTTCAATGTTTGATGGGGTTCACAATCAATCCAAAGATTATAGTGAATTATGTCAGCAAATTAGGTCAATAAATTATGTCTTAATAATATTGCTCTAAATATAAATAGTGGAAATTAATTTCTGACAGTGTATGCTTCTCTAATGCAGATGGGATTCAAGTGGATATTTGTACTGTCACTTGCACTGCTTCAAGCTGCTTACTACAGACGCTTGAAGTGGTCGATTTTCAAGTCTCGTAAGCTGGTCCTTGACGTTGTCAATTAGATCTCTGGTTCCTCTTATTCTTATATTTGTGGAAGGATTTGAATAGGCAATAATTATTGCTCAACGGCTATGTTTCTCTCATCTGTTTAGTTGGCTCCAACCTTTTGACAGATATTTCAGAGAGCCGAAGATTATGTTTCCATTTCAGGGAGATAATAAGAGAATACGCACATAGACACATACCTATTTTTTTGTCTGAATACAGAACTGGCAAGAATTATTATATAATGCGAATTTTGTAGTGGCTTCCTGTTTTTGATGAATGTGGTCTCATTTGGTAATTTTTGGCATGACCATGATTCGGCGGGTTGGGGTTCAGCTCATGATCAGTCTAACATTTGGAACCCTTAACCCGACCTCAACCTCAACACAAATTCCGAATGTCAATCTGAGTTATAGTTTGAGTTTCACCAGTGAAAAACCATGTGGTTTTAGTTTATTAACTGTTACTTCGGTTTGCAATCAAATCTCTCTACTGTGTTCAACAGTTTCTTTTCCCAAAAAGCGCACGAAATGTTTGATTTTGGTACACTCTTGGATGGCTCTGAACGGTAATTGAAGCAAGCAAAGTCTTTTATTTATTCGCCTGAAAGGGCGGAGGTTAAATTGATGCCACCTGAAAGGCCAACAAAGCTATCCCAAATTCTCTATTGTTTGTAGTATATATTATATGTATATGATCGATATAATCGTATTGAACCATAATTGATTGAATTCTAACAATATTCAAATTGAATGTAGACACCCAGTATACCCCTATACGAGGACCGTACCCCACATGCAATTCATTTTGAATTTTTCTCTTCTTTTTTTCTGGTGGAGATTTTCTTTTAGGTAAATTTTGAGAGATTTTTTGGTTCGGGCAAGGCATGTACGGATAAAGTTGTACCCTAATTTACATTGAGTATGTAATGTGAAAAATTTAATTTTTGATGGTATAAAGTGAGAATTTTAAAATATTTTAAGGTATAAAGTGCAAAAAACCCTTCCCCCTTCTCTCTGTTGTCACTGTTGGTGGTGACGGGCTCCATTCTTTATCCACTACCCAATTGAGTACCAATTTCTTCCAGACCGATACAATCAGACACTAAAAACTGCTGCGAGGATTCCCAATTATATGGAACAAAGCTGTGCTAATGACAAAATGCATAACGAAACATAATTTATCATAATATTAAGGAAAATTTTAGGTGTAAGGAATAAACAAAATTCAATTTACGCGTTGCAAAAACATGATGAACAATTTTCGTTCATAGAAGATTATAAATTGCTTCACCTCTGCATAGGAGTCCACACAACTTAGCAAAAACCTTCATTCATTATTCAATTATCAACTACTAGGCCTAGGAAGAGAGACAAAAACACATACTAAGAGAACAATTACTCTTGAAGCATTATCTAATAAGACAGTATAAGCACACTCCTAACACAATATCAAGCAAGTAGTAAAAAGCCAAAAAACATTGCAAATGGTATTCTTCAGAAATACCATAGAAGTAAATATTACCTTCAGAACAACGATAAGCTAAATGTAGCAATAAATCTTTCCAGAGAAGGTCAAACAGACCAAAAAAAAAATCCCAATATGGGAACAACGTAAAGGACAACACACAAACGTAATTGTTATAGAAAACTAGAGGTTCAAAAATACAAAAAATTGAGGTTTAAGATAAAAAGGGAAAACTAAAATAGAAAGTAAGGTGAATCCGAAGGGGAAAAGAAAACAACTCATAAAATAACCAAAGAATACAATGGCAAATAGAATTTTTTTTCGGAAAGGTCGAAGAACCAAATGAACAAACTCGTGGCAAATTGGGATTTCCATAATACAGAAAATTACTTGTAAACTGTAAGAAAAAACACACAATTTACAAAAATCATAAGAGTAGGACGAGAAATCAAGAGCTTCTACATCATTCAATCACAGACAAAAAGAGCCCAGTGCATAAAACACGGAGAATTCACAAAGTGAACTACACACTACGTCTAATGGCCAAGAAAGGTAAGGAAATTTAAACAAAACCTCCATCTGATGCTTCAGACCTCTTTAAGTTTTCAAAAAATGCTACTTGGACTTGTTGACTTGATCAATCACATAGATAATAGATCCTAATAAATCCTGAAACCGATCAAATCAGTAAGACTAGCTAATTCAATAACAATGATTGATCAAGTCAACAAATCAGAGAGTATTTTAAGTCCATGTTGCATAGATCACAGTTACTAAAACAAGTCAGATTGTAAGGCGTTCAATTCAAGTATATTTCCGAAAATAAAATCTGAAACAAACAGAGCAGCAAAATAATAAACCCTATTATGTGACGAGAGAGGTACCAAAATGCAGAAAAACAAGTGGAAGCTAGCAATAGAAAAGACGAGCCTCTGTTTGGTTGCAAAGAAAACAGNAGGTAATTGAAGCAAGCAAAGTCTTTTATTTATTCGCATGAAAGGGCGGAGGTTAAATTGATGCCACCTGAAAGGCCAACAAAGCTATCTCAGATTCTCTCTTAATCGTATTGAACCATAATTGATTGAATTCTAACAATAGTCAAATTGAATGTAGACACCCAGTATACCCCTATACGAGGACCGTACCCCACATGCAATTCATTTTGAATTTTTCTCTTCTTTTTTTCTGGTGGAGATTTTCTTTTAGGTAAATATTGAGAGATTTTTTGGTTCGGGCAAGGCATGTACGGATAAAGTTGTACCCTAATTTACAAGTGGAAGCTAGCAATAGAAAAGACGAGCCTCTGTTTGGTTGCAAAGAAAACAGGGGAAAGGAAAATGAGCGAGAGGAGACTTCTGATTGCATGCCATCTTTACAAGCATTGCTGTGTGCAGTGCTCTACCGAATCTCATTTCTAAGAAGTAGAGAGAAGTGATTCTGAGAGTTGAATGGACTGTGAACGACTATATTTATAGTTAACGGGTAAATATGAGGGTTTGTTTAACGAGTATTAGTCGATTATTTTCGACTTAATTTCTTAATTTAATACAACAAAATTATTTTTTTTAATTTGATCCATTAAAATTATTAGATTGGCTAGAAATTTCATTATTAATTTACATCTTAAAAAATTGAATTGTAGTCAAAATAATTGTCGCTTTCTCTGAAACTATTTTTTATGCTGATAAATTTCGACAAATTACTCAATTTTAAATACTTCATATGAAAATTTTGTACTCAATTAAAATGAACCATATTATTAATTCTTTCTTTAATATAAAGTTGAATGCAAAAATCTTTTAAATTTATCCACATTTATCCTATGTTACACTCGATGATCAAAATTTTATTTCGATATATTATTTTGGTCACCTATGGAATAAAAATATTTTAACATGTTTCAAATATGTTTAAAAATAAAATTATTTTTTCAAAATTTTGGTCAAAATATATCAAAAATCTTAAAATATTTTAAAATAATTGTACAAATATATAAAAAAAATACAAAATATAAAAATTTCAATTTCATTATTAATCCATTTTAGTCTTTTTAAAAATAAAAACGTTTTAAAACGAAATTTTAATCCTTAATTGCACTACAAACCAGAGATTTGAGTCTTAGCAGTGACACACTTTTCCCTTCTCCTTAGAAGAATGTTAAGTCTATCTTAGAACATCAAGAAAGAAAAAAAAAAAAAAAACACACAATACATGATGCTAATTAATTGGAACCATTGTTTCCACACAACTCCTATCTGAACAATACAAGGCTAAAGACAGCATCGAAGTTTTCTCGATTGATTAAATACTTGATAAGTCCGCCAAAACACACAGCTCCTCTTCTTCATAAACCTTGAAGAGTTCAACTTGACCAGAGCTGTGAAAGAGATTTTCCTTTTTGGCACATCATCACACAACTTATAACAATCTCCCTTAACTGTTTCTCAACTTCTTCAACAGAAAGGCATCCATCTATAATCTGCAATGAAGCCAAGAAAACATAGTCAATGCCTTGAGTTTAGAAAAGGTTGCTACTGCAGAATTCACAAGCAATCTCCACTGACGCCTAGGTAGTAATTTTCTTTTGGCAAAGGAAAAGAGTTGTAGAAACGCCCAGAATAACTATAACAATTTATACATGTTACCATCATCCTATGCCTTCAGATTTTATTCTTTTTATTGTTTTCATCTTCACCTACCAATTTTATTGTCTTGAAGCTACATCAGCTAACAGAAACTTGGTGTTAATGCCCAAAATCTAAACCAAAATATGACAAGTTCTGAGGTGACACCCACAGGACGCCATCAAAACCCAAACAAACTCCGTAACTTTTACCTTCCAACCTTTCACCAGAGTTCTGATCTGCAACGAAAATGAAAAGAGAACAAAAGGTTATTGAACAAAGTGCATTACCTTCCAAGAGGCATCACGAAGACACTGATACGATTGTGCAACTTTCCTTTGAAACTCAAGTTGCTCATATCTCTCACCTCCATAACCTCCTCTTTCAGCAGCATTCTGATAACTTCAAAAATTAGTTCCATATAGCCTGACATCGGTTTAATTTGAAACAGAAATGCCAGTGGAATTGCTAACACTTCATTTTATCAAATTAAGAAACATAAATGAAAACCCATAATTGTCTTTCTGCGGCAATGTGAAAATCAAGAAATGATTTGATGATTCCACTAAAGTATCAAATCCAGCAGACTTAAACAGAAAAACCTGAATATAGGGTTTTTTGAACAAGGCAGGGGGTCAGGAGCAGGTGCATATTTATGATGCCACATTAACATGGATCTATATCAGTGGTCCTTGCAAATGTATGCCAACAAAAGATGCATTCACAAATTTCAACAGGAACCGAGCTTGCCACAAGTGGGACGCCTTTCCTTCAATTTCTTTTCTCTTTATTTTATCAAATAAGAAAGTCATTGTATTGATGCGAAAAACAGTCATGATTTGATGATTCCACTAAACTAAAGAATCAAGTCTGGCAGACTCGAACAGAAAAACCTGAATATAGGGTTTTTTGAACAAGGCAGGGGGTCAGGAGCAGGTGCATATTTATGATGCCACATTAACATGGATCTATATCAGTGGTCCTTGCAAATGTATGCCAACAAAAGATGCATTCACAAATTTCAACAGGAACCGAGCTTGCCACAAGTGGGACGCCTTTCCTTCAATTTCTTTTCTCTTTATTTTATCAAATAAGAAAGTCATTGTATTGATGCGAAAAACAGTCATGATTTGATGATTCCACTAAACTAAAGAANCTTCAAATATGTTTAAAAATAAAATTATTTTTTCAAAATTTTGGTCAAAATATATCAAAAATCTTAAAACATTCTAAAATAATTGTACAAATATATAAAACAAAATACAAAATATAAAAATTTCAATTTCATTATTAATCCATTTTAGTCTTTTTAAAAATAAAAACGTTTTGAAACGAAATTTTAATCCTTAATTGCACTACAGACCAGAGATTTGAGTCTTACCAGTGACACACTTTTCCCTTCACCTTAGAAGAATGTCAAGTCTATCTTAGAACATCAAGAAAGAAAAAAAAAACACACAATACATGATGCTAATTAATTGGAACCACTGTTTCCACACAACTCCTATCTGAACAATACAAGGCTAAAGACAGCATCGAAGTTTTNTGCATTCACAAATTTCAACAGGAACCGAGCTTGCCACAAGTGGGACGCCTTTCCTTCAATTTCTTTTCTCTTTATTTTATCAAATAAGAAAGTCATTGTATTGATGCGAAAAACAGTCATGATTTGATGATTCCACTAAACTAAAGAATCAAGTCTGGCAGACTCGAACAGAAAAACCTGAATATAGGGTTTTTTGAACAAGGCAGGGGGTCAGGAGCAGGTGCATATTTATGATGCCACATTAACATGGATCTATATCAGTGGTCCTTGCAAATGTATGCCAACAAAAGATGCATTCACAAATTTCAACAGGAACCGAGCTTGCCACAAGTGGGACGCCTTTCCTTCAATTTCTTTTCTCTTTATTTTATCAAATAAGAAAGTCATTGTATTGATGCGAAAAACAGTCATGATTTGATGATTCCACTAAACTAAAGAATCAAGTCTGGCAGACTCGAACAGAAAAACCTGAATATAGGGTTTTTTGAACAAGGCAGGGAGTCAGGAGCAGGTGCATATTTATGATGCCACGTTAACATGGATCTATATCAGTGGTCCTTGCAAATGTATGCCAACAAAAGAAGCGTTCACAAATTTCAACAGGAACCAAGATTGCCACAAGTGGGACGCCTTTCCTTCAATTTTTTTTCTCTTTATTTTATCAAATAAGAAACAGTCATTGTATTGATGCGAAAAACAGTCATGATTTGATGATTCCACTAAACTAAAGAATCAAGTCCAGCAGACTCGAACAGAAAAACCTGAATATAGGGTTTTTTGAACAAGGCAGGGGGTCAGGAGCAGGTGCATATTTACGATGCCACATTAACATGGATCTATATCAGTGGTCCTTGCAAATGTATGCCAACAAAAGATGCATTCACAAATTTCAACAGGAACCGAGCTTGCCACAAGTGGGACGCCTTTCCTTCAATTTCTTTTCTCTTTATTTTATCAAATAAGAAAGTCATTGTATTGATGCGAAAAACAGTCATGATTTGATGATTCCACTAAACTAAAGAATCAAGTCTGGCAGACTCGAACAGAAAAACCTGAATATAGGGTTTTTTGAACAAGGCAGGGGGTCAGGAGCAGGTGCATATTTATGATGCCACATTAACATGGATCTATATCAGTGGCCCTTGCAAATGTATGCCAACAAAAGAAGCGTTCACAAATTTCAACAGGAACCAAGCTTGCCACAAGTGGGACGCCTTTCCTTCAATTTTTTTTCTCTTTATTTTATCAAATAAGAAACAGTCATTGTATTGTTGCAAAAAAATTGTAGTACAAAAGAGAAAGAAGCGAGGGCGGACAAGGTGTCCAAACCTCACATCAAAGAAACAATGAAAGCAATATAAAAGAGAATTCGCTGTGAATCACAAACAGCTAAAATCCTCAAGGTCATAACAAGAATGAAAAATTTGAAACAAATTACCTCTGGTGGTAAGTCAAGGTATAGTACCAGATCTGGAGCCAGTAACCCCATCTCTGGAGCCTGCACAAACAAACCTCATTACTTCACTACCCCCAAGAAAATAAATTTCAAATTGAACATAACTTAAAGAATGTATTTACCTTACACCATTCAATATCGAGTCCTTTGGCAGATGAGAAAGCCACCCCAGAATAAGAGTAGCGGTCAACAATGAGGGTTGTTCCACTCCTCAGCTTGTTCTCCATTAATGCTCTGCAAATACATTGTTGATGATTAACTACAAATCTTAAAACTTAAAATGAGAGCTTCAGGGCCTATAATCCAACAGTCTGACTTTTTCTTGACCATGATAGAGATAAAGGTTGTAAAACAGGTAATTACTCATAGCCCATTATGGTTCTCATTTACCTGAGGGAGTTACAAGCAGGAAACTAGACATATATCTAACGCTTGAAACTAACTAAAGAACTCCAGTTTGTCTTATATCTACAGAACATGAGAATTTGTAGACAGTTTCGACCACAGTAACTAGTTTTCAGTATCCGCATGAAAGGAAAATTGCAATATTTTAAAACGTTAGAAATTCCATCAGCCCATACTTTTGGTGTTACAACTATTGTACTCTCCCATTTGGCAGCTGGTTAGCTGTCATTCGTAACAATGAAGTAACTACCTGTACAACAGAAGAGAATCTGCAATTTATTTTCAATGTTATTATATAATTTCCCACTTGTTTAAATTAACTCCATAAAACATCTTACATTTTGGCCATTCATTTAGACAAGGTAAATGAGAAGAAATTTCCACAACATTTAGCCCTCCAATATGATATTTTCACAATTAATTTCTAAATGTGTAAGGTCTATGAAGCAATTTCTTTGGTCATGTGACAAGATATATAACCATCAAAATATTGTCAGGCTCCTAAATACACAAACCATAGCACAGCTTCTGTTGAAGAAGAAAAACATTGCCAAACAACTCATAGAGGCAACTAAACAAGCATGTCAGATAAGAGTCAGCTTTCTATCTCCATTTCAACTAAGTGATATATATCATCATGCATGGGATAACAAAACAAACCTCTTCTCCCAACGATTTGCACTAAAGAGGAGATGGATTGCATGATCATCCAGCTGCGACTTATTGGAGAGATATGAGGAAATCATTTGCCCAACACCAGTATTTCTATCAGGAAACCTCCATGATTCAACTGGATACCCTAGCCCTTCCAGGTATGACAGTAGTCTGCTAGACTGTGAAGTCTTCCCAGAGCGATCCAAACCTTCTAACACAATCAAAGCTCCTCTTGAATCACTGTTGTATTTATTGTCCATGTGAATTTGTCTACAAGCAAACTTGAATGGAAATTTTGAATTCAAACGAAATGCCAAAGATCTTTGTGCCACTACAGCCCCAAAATTTCTAGAAAATACAAGGAAAAAAAAAACTGTATCAGAGAACTAAACTTGCATCATATATTTATCTACACCACCTGTGACAACAATCACAATTACTTTGAGTAACTCTATTCTGATTTTCAAATTTAGAAGAAAAACAAATGGGGATAAAATACCAATTTCAAAANGCATCATATATTTATCTACACCACCTGTGACAACAATCACAATTACTTTGAGTAACTCAATTCTGATTTTCAAATTTAGAAGAAAAACAAATGGGGATAAAATACCAATTTCAAAATAAATCCACACTTTCCAATTAATTGCATTACCAAAAAAAGAATAAATTACCAGATTATAGCTCCTTTGCATCCTCATAATTCCCATCAGGTTCATAGGGACAACCAAAAAACAGAGACTTGTTTGAGATTTTTAAATTTTTAATATAAGAGGGAAGGTTCTACATGGAAAGATTTTTCTCGAGGAATGCAAATACAAGTGCTTGATGAGATATCTGAGGTCTGCCGACACAACCCGCGGGGAAAGGGTGGGGGAAGTGAAAAGAAAAGAGAGGGTCTGAGGTGGGGTGTTTTTTATTTCAAAATTTGGCAGAGTAATAGCTAATGCATCACTTTGTGGAAACAGGCAGTACCATGTAGGCTCTAGCAAACAAGGAAATGTGCATATTCCATTCCAGAAATAGAACTCAAATTCTGTTTTTCCCTGTCTTTTCCATGAGTACTCAACTAATAAACAGTGAAAATTAACAAGAGAAATAAGCAAATCCAGTGGAAGGAAACTTACAAAACCTCAGAAACTGCGGAATAGCAGGCATGTGTCATATCCCGTCGAACCCTACAAACTGAGATCCCGAAAGAATTACGCAAATTATTTCAGATCCATGAAAACTTACAAAAAGTACAGAAACAGAACAAGATTCACATATCAAGACTAAGCATAAACACAACTACATACTAAAGACTAGGGTTTTAGTTCGTTGGAAACGGAAAGATCACCTGTTTGAGGCCATGAGCATGTTACGATCAAACGAAATACAGAAGATGAAAGCTCGCAGTCTGATCTGGTCTGGTGTGGCTTCGATGGTCTCCGAACTCTCGAGCGCTTTTAAAACCCTCCAGAGCCCCCAATTGCGCGCCTCAACTTTTGATTTTGTTTTTTTTTGTGATGGGTCCCATAGGTGCTCCTCACCATGAAGAGGCTTCACCGCCACATCGCCGGTCGCGTCTGATTCCGCATCGCCAGGAACCTGATTTTTTCGAGTTGTATATTTAAAATAAGATTTTGTATTTTAATTATCTAAATAAATATATATCTATATATCTATATAATAAAATAAGAATTTGTTTGAATTTTATCTTAGTCATATTTTTTCTCCTCAAAATCATCATTAATCACTTACCTCACTCATCATCCCTTTGTCAAACTCAAACGTCAAATCACATCACTCACTTCAATCACATATTTAATCATTTATATATTTCTTCCCTAAAAATATTACACCACTCTGTTTAATCATTTAATATTTAATTAATTTATAATTAATATATTTAAAAAAAATTTAATATAGTGGGATCAATTTTTTGGACACTCGAATTTTATATTTTACACGGGTGATGACTATATATATATATATATTAGTTATTCATTTTTTTAATACATAATTCAATATTTTTGTTATATTTTAACTAATGCTTTTAAATATTATTTCTTATATTTTGTAGCTTTCTTATAAACATGAAAGGAAGAGGGAAAAATAATGGAAGGAAAGATGAAGAGTGAATAAGAGACGTGAAATAAGAGAGGAGGATAAATAATATATTATAAATTATTTATACATTATATTATTGTAATGCTCTAAATATAAAAAAAAAGCGGAGCTACCTTAGTTCCAGGAGCACTTGCCTCTCTCATTTTTGAATAATTATATACATTTATAATATAAAATAAAACATATTTCAATAATTTCATCCAACAATCTAAAATAGATTCATCCAACGACTATCAACATCTCTTTCAAAATCATTCATATTGAATTTTTCTCTCTCTTCAAATTCATTACTTATCACTTACCTTGTACCGTGCTTTTAAACACGAATTATCCCTAATATAATTATATGTCAGTCAATACACAAGTAAATTGATATATTATCCCTCTTTATTTTAAAAAAAAAAAATTGTACAATGGATTGATTTTTCATTAAATATGGGCCCACTATCCCCTAAAATGTTCTTGATTTTATGTTTTATTTTGTAATTTCATCTTAAATTTTTGCACATTTCTCATACTTGAAATTAAAAAAATTTATGTTAATATTTTATCCCCTCACAATTGATTTTGCATATTTTTGAGTTTGAATTTTTCCTCAGATCTGATCCTATGCAAACCAGGAACTTGGGATCTATGTCATTTCTTTACGTTGAGGGGAAGAAATACATTTTTGTTGTTGCTAATTTTTTGTAGGCTAAGATCTGTTCATAGGCATTCAATACTTACTCTTTATCATTGAGTTTTCTTTTCTTTTATTTTTTAAAGTATCGTAAGTTAATTTATAGTTCATTTAAAAAAAATCTTGCCTATCNGGAAGAGGGAAAAATAATGGAAGGAAAGATGAAGAGTGAATAAGAGATGTGAAATAAGAGAGGAGGATAAATAATATATTATAAATTATTTGTACATTATATTATTGTAATGCTCTAAATATAAAAAAAGCGGAGCTACCTTAGTCCTAGGAGCACTTGCCTCTCTCATTTTTGAATAATTATATACATTTATAATATAAAATAAAATATATTTCAATAATTTCATCCAACAGTTTTAAATAGATTCATCCAACGACTATCAACATCTCTTTCAAAATCATTCATATTAAATTTTTCTCTCCTCTTCAAATTCATCACTTATCACTTACGTTGTACCGTGTCTTTAAACACGAATTATCCTTAATATAATTATATGTCAGTCAATACACAAGTAAATTGATACATTATCCCTCTTTATTTTTCAAAAAAAAATTGTACAATTGATTGATTTTTCATTAAATATGGGCCCACTATCCCCTAAAATGTTCTCGATTTTATGTTTTATTTTGTAATTTCATCTTAAATTTTTGTACATTTCTCATATTTGAAATTAAAAAAAAATTATGTTAATATTTTATCCCCTCATAAATATTTCTAACTCCGCCCCTTAATATTTTATCCCCTCACAATTGATTTTGCATACTTTTGAGTTTGAATTTTTCCTCAGATCTGATCCAATGCAAACCAGGAACTTGGGATCTATGTCATTTCTTTACGTTGAGGGGAAGAAATACATTTTTGTTGTTGTTAATTTTTTGTAGGCTAAGATCTGTTCATAGGCATTCAATACTTCCTCTTTATCATGGAGTTTTCTTTTCTTTAATTTTTTAAAGTATCGTAAGTTAATTTATAGTTCATTTAAAAAAAATCTTGCCTATCCACGTGTTATACAAAAGAAAGTTGTGATAACATGTCTTATCACCGCCCGCACTTTAATGATATTTTTTCAAAATGTTTTTATGAAAGAGTCAATTTAAATTATATTCACTATTTTTATTATTTTTGGGATTATTGTTCAAATATATTTTACTATTTTTTATCTTTTAAAATTGTTTTGAAATTATATAACCAAAAATATATTTTAGAATACCAAAAAAAAAAAAACCACAAATTTTTAAAATTATTTTCGAAAACATATTTTTGAATATTATTTTTTAAAAATATATCCAATCAGATCCACTGTTTTGCAAAACAATTTGCCTCCAACAGGCTCAGTGGCCCCAGTTTAGTCATTATGCCCCAACTCCGCGTAATTACCGCGGGCGGTGGAGTTTACGCGGCAAGCAGCTTCTAGTAGCTTCTGAAGAGAAGTTAATAAATAGGACTCAATCCCATGGGACGCAACATTGACAACCAATGAAATTAAAGCTGGCTAAAAGTTGAATAAATAAATAAGCCGAATTAAACACCTCAACCGCTAGATCTAGATCGTAAGGATGAAACTTGAAGAATATTCCTACCGTTAGATTGGACCAAAACTAGAACTCAACGGTCCAGATATACCGAAAGCGGTGCCAAGATGAGTGCAACGGCCTTTAAGTAGAGACACTCCACCTTGTCTTTCTCTCCCCATCGAGTCTCTGTCTCCCTCTCTATTTTCACTCCAGTTGTTCGAAGTCGAAGACTTCACGAAACTTTCTTCGCCAGCAGCGACTTTTGCTTGTGATCCAGTCTCTTTTCGAGTCTTCAAATTCTTGTTATCTAGGGTTTCAAGCACCGTGTTCTTTATCTCTCTGTGAAGTTGATGATTTGGAATCTTGATCTAGGGTTTCCTGTTGTGCTTGTGTGTTAGTTGCTGGTTACTTCGGTAGTAATTTATAAGAATTTCTGTTTATTCAATTGAAATTATTTTCATCTTTGAAGTCTGCTTAGCCGAGGGATCTTGTTCTTTCGATCTAGAGGAAGGCCAACGCTGAAGGTAACTAAGGTTAGGGCTTTACTTGGTTACTCCTAGGTATTATGTTTTGTTGCTAATGATAGCGTAAGGTGTGATAAAGGTCTAGAAGTATAGGGGAAAAAACAAACTGACCATGTTTGATCACTTCATGCGTTAATTCATTGGTTTCATTTCAGNTCCACGTGTTATACAAAAGAAAGTTGTGATAACATGTCTTATCACCGCCCGCACTTTAATGATATTTTTTCAAAATGTTTTTATGAAAGAGTCAATTTAAATTATATTCACTATTTTTATTATTTTTGGGATTATTGTTCAAATATATTTTACTATTTTTTATCTTTTAAAATTGTTTTGAAATTATATAACCAAAAATATATTTTAGAATACCAAAAAAAAAAAAACCACAAATTTTTAAAATTATTTTCGAAAACATATTTTTGAATATTATTTTTTAAAAATATATCCAATCAGATCCACTGTTTTGCAAAACAATTTGCCTCCAACAGGCTCAGTGGCCCCAGTTTAGTCATTATGCCCCAACTCCGCGTAATTACCGCGGGCGGTGGAGTTTACGCGGCAAGCAGCTTCTAGTAGCTTCTGAAGAGAAGTTAATAAATAGGACTCAATCCCATGGGACGCAACATTGACAACCAATGAAATTAAAGCTGGCTAAAAGTTGAATAAATAAATAAGCCGAATTAAACACCTCAACCGCTAGATCTAGATCGTAAGGATGAAACTTGAAGAATATTCCTACCGTTAGATTGGACCAAAACTAGAACTCAACGGTCCAGATATACCGAAAGGGGTGCCAAGATGATTGCAACGGCCTTTAAGTAGAGACACTCCACCGTGTCTTTCTCTCCCCATCGAGTCTCTGTCTCCCTCTCTATTTTCACTCCAGTTGTTCGAAGTCGATGACTTCACGAAACTTTCTTCGCCAGCAGCGACTTTTGCTTGTGATCCAGTCTCTTTTNCAAAGAGTCAATTTAAATTATATTCACTATTTTTATTATTTTTGGGATTATTGTTCAAATATATTTTACTATTTTTTATCTTTTGAAATTATATAACCAAAAATATATTTTAGAATACCAAAAAAAAAAAAANATGAAAGAGTCAATTTAAATTATATTCACTATTTTTATTATTTTTGGGATTATTGTTCAAATATATTTTACTATTTTTTATCTTTTAAAATTGTTTTGAAATTATATAACCAAAAATATATTTTAGAATACCAAAAAAAAAAAAACCACAAATTTTTAAAATTATTTTCGAAAACATATTTTTGAATATTATTTTTTAAAAATATATCCAATCAGATCCACTGTTTTGCAAAACAATTTGCCTCCAACAGGCTCAGTGGCCCCAGTTTAGTCATTATGCCCCAACTCCGCGTAATTACCGCGGGCGGTGGAGTTTACGCGGCAAGCAGCTTCTAGTAGCTTCTGAAGAGAAGTTAATAAATAGGACTCAATCCCATGGGACGCAACATTGACAACCAATGAAATTAAAGCTGGCTAAAAGTTGAATAAATAAATAAGCCGAATTAAACACCTCAACCGCTAGATCTAGATCGTAAGGATGAAACTTGAAGAATATTCCTACCGTTAGATTGGACCAAAACTAGAACTCAACGGTCCAGATATACCGAAAGGGGTGCCAAGATGATTGCAACGGCCTTTAAGTAGAGACACTCCACCGTGTCTTTCTCTCCCCATCGAGTCTCTGTCTCCCTCTCTATTTTCACTCCAGTTGTTCGAAGTCGATGACTTCACGAAACTTTCTTCGCCAGCAGCGACTTTTGCTTGTGATCCAGTCTCTTTTCGAGTCTTCAAATTCTTGTTATCTAGGGTTTCAAGCACCGTGTTCTTTATCTCTCTGTGAAGTTGATGATTTGGAATCTTGATCTAGGGTTTCCTGTTGTGCTTGTGTGTTAGTTGCTGGTTACTTCGGTAGTAATTTATAAGAATTTCTGTTTATTCAATTGAAATTATTTTCATCTTTGAAGTCTGCTTAGCCGAGGGATCTTGTTCTTTCGATCTAGAGGAAGGCCAACGCTGAAGGTAACTAAGGTTAGGGCTTTACTTGGTTACTCCTAGGTATTATGTTTTGTTGCTAATGATAGCGTAAGGTGTGATAAAGGTCTAGAAGTATAGGGGAAAAAACAAACTGACCATGTTTGATCACTTCATGCGTTAATTCATTGGTTTCATTTCAGCACACGGTTTGAATTTATTGAATGAAACGTAATTGCTGAACTGGCATAACAATTTAACGTTGAGAAACAGCAAACATATACTAGAGTCTTTGGTCTACCATTTCATATTGGGGCGATTACTGGAAAATAAGTCCTTTTTCTTGTGCATCTCTATGTGAATCATAAGATCACTGTCTTCTCATGGATTCCAGGAACTGGCGTCGATGATGTTGTCCAGTGTTATTATATACTGAGGTAAACTAATTTGACATACTTGCTAGAAGAAACCCAATAAGTAAACGGAGGTTAGAGTTCAGGGCAAAATGATGGCAAAGCCGGATAGGTTCCCAGAAGGATATAGTACTGGTTTTCCTCCTAATTATGAATCAGAAGGATCTGGTAGCTCGGGAAGAATTGATACAGATATTACAGCATCTGAGGATTCAAATGGCCCAAGGAGAAAATGCATTAATTTAAATTCTGCTTCCCGGGATGGCTTTGGTGTGCCCACACGTGTCCTCCCTCTCTCAAAACTGCCACCATCCGAGAGAAGAGATTTAGTGGTTCGTTTGAGAAGAGAACTTGAACATATACGGGCTCTCCAAAAGAAAGTTGAGTTGCAGAGGACAAATGCTGCCGTGTCATCTTCTAGTGATATTCTTAGCTGTAGCAATACACAAAATGGGCCCTTGACAGGGAAGGTGAGAAAATCATCAATGTTAACTTCTGGTAAAAAATTAAACCCTATGGGTGATAAGGGACGTGGCTGGAATCGGGGTTCTTCTGGAAGGTTTGAGTCTATAAACCAAGCTTCGACATCTAGCACTTCAAATGCAAATTTGATGAAGCAGTGTGAAAACTTGTTGAAAAAATTAATGAAGCATCAGTATGGTTGGGTTTTTAATGCCCCTGTTGACGTAGTGAAATTCAATGCCTCAGATTATTTCACTGTTATCAAGCATCCAATGGATTTGGGTACAATAAAGGGTAAAATTGCTTCATCTGAGTACAATAGCCCACTGGACTTCCTCGCTGATGTGAGACTCACTTTCTCCAATGCCATGACCTACAATCCACCTGGGAATGATTTCTATTTAATGGCTGATACTCTTAATAAATTTTTTGAAGTTAGATGGAAACCCATTGAGAAGAAACTCTCTGTAAATAATATGCGACCATTACCCGAAAAATCAGGCCTTCAAGACGACATAGGAACAGTTAAGCTGATGGCTCCCTCCAAAAGGAGAAAACTTACACCAATACAGCATGAAGTTATTCATGAACCTGTTAAGAAGATAATGACAGAAGAGGAGAAACACCAATTAAGTACAGAATTGGAAGCTATCCTGGGAGATTTGCCGGATAATATCATTGAATTTCTGAAGGAACAAAGTTCCCGTGCAAGGGAAGTGGGAGAGGATGAGATTGAGATTGATATCAATGATCTCAGTGATGATACCTTGTTCAGATTAAGGAAGCTTTTAGATGACCATTTGCAAGAGAAACAAAACAATCCTGCAAAAGGCGAACCTTGTGAGATAGAGGTATTATACTATCTGACATCCGAGTCCCTGCCTTCTCAAATAAACAAAAATACTGGCGACTTGCCATATCATATAAAGAATTTGACCCTTGCTTTTCTTCTTCAATCGCTGTTGCAGCTGCTGAACGAATCAGGGCTTAGCAATTCATCCATGCAACTATTTAAAGGTTACTTTCCATCCATTTTTCTTTTGTGCTTTTATATTGTATATCTTCACGTGCGTCAGACAGGCATTTTAATGATGTTGCTATTTTTCAGGAAATGACCCTGCCGATGAGGTTGTTGATATTTGCGGAAATGAGGCCCTGGTTTCAAGCTATCCCCCAGTTGAGATTGAAAAGGACACAGGCCGGAGAAGCAGTAGATGCATTAGTTCAGGCAGTTCTGGTGGAAATTTGGGTCTGTTATCTTCTACAACATATAGTTTGCCTTTTGTTTTCACAATGTAGACTTGCATTCGTAAGACCTGTGAATCTGTGATATGGTGGAGACATAACTACCTTAATGAATTAGCTGTTTTACACGATACCAAATAGATAAAGAAAAAAAACCAAAGTTATTATGGTAGTCAGTTTATTTTGCAGGTTGTATTATTCTTTTTGCAGGTTGTATTTTTTGTCGTCCAAGTAATTTAACACTTCTTTTCTACGATTTCTCGAGATGGCCTTTCTGTAATTTCTTGTGAGAAAGTCAACATATGCTCTACCCCACATTTTAATTGTGGTTAATAGCTTTCTACAGGTTTCTTTGAATGCCTTTGAATATGTTTTGCTTGGTCCAAAAAAAAAAAAAAAGAATATGTTTTGCAACACTACAATGCAAAAATTTAATAGATGATTTTATAATTCAGGTTCCAGTGGAAAATACCTTTTTTTTGGATTAAAATTTACAATTGAATGGCTTATAGTGTCTTTTATATTTTTTTACTTTAATCAAAGAAAGGTGGGCATATATAAAAAAGATATGAAGTCCGGTCAGGTTATCTTTACAGTTGAGATTTTAGCACAATCTTTCAAAATGTTCTCAATATTTCTCTTCCACATTTTTCAAAAACTGTACTTTTTAACACATGTTTTATTTTTCTTTCAATTCAATTGTGATAGTTTCTTGTTATCAGTGTTGTTGCTGTTATTGTGTCCTTTAAATAGTTTTCTTGCATGTACATGTGTCCTGCAGATTCAGATTATAGCAGTTCTGAAAGTGAATCAGAGTGTGTTAAAGTTTCTACTCCAGTAAATGTACTGAAGGTATATCTGATTGCTATCTATTTTGTTAATGTATGATTATACCTAACTACATCTGTCATATCCCTAATCCCATGTGCTCTGTTTTCAGGGAAACTCCAGTCCTGGAGCAAATTTAGATGAAAAGATGGGGGTTGGGGATGTGGTTGATGGCAATCGTGAGTTCTTCCTAACCTTTTTGTTACATGTTGCTTCCGAAGTCATTAATGTATTCATATCTGTTATGGCATTGGACCCAATTGTGTTCGCAGCTGATATGATATCGGACAATGTACATAGAGAAAAAGGGTATAAATTTGAATTAGAACTGGAAAAGGTGAATGAATCGGCAAGTTTTCTTCTTGGACTGTATAGGGGTTCAAACGTGTCTTGTTATGCTTGTTTTCCGTTCTGCCATGTCTGTTTTGGAGTATACAATGCTTAATATTATCCTCAAAGCTTTTGGGAACAAAGTATGCAAGCTTCCGATGATCATCAGAGAAGTTTTCATATGAATTGCTTGGTCATAAAGAATTGATTACGTGCGCACTTCAGTTGGCTTGTGCACTTAGTATTTTTATAGAGTTGGTGTTGCTTAATTTATATTGTTGATGTGGTGTGGCCTCAGAGTTTTGGCAGACTCATCAGCTAGTCTGCGAATTGTGACTCGGCTTTATTTTTGGGGACTAATTAAGCACATGCTATACAGTTAAAATATCAACATTTTGTTTTATACTTTCTCAATTTGATATGACGTGGTTTTTTCTTAAATTTATTTGTTATCATTGTTTTTGGTAATACTTGATTGTTTGTTTTTTCTGTTAAAATTTGTAAGTTGTTGAATTATTTATGAAGTTTTGAGTCCATATTTTTTTTACAGAATCTGTTAGTGGGTTGGACCAACTTGAACAAAACTCCCAGCATAAGCCAAATTCTGTTGAGTCCGATTGCCATCAGGATGGTAAGCAAGAATTCTGAAGAAAATTGATGCTAGTTTGTTTTGGATCGTGTCTTATCCATCATTACTTGATATTATAGGTGAGAGTGCTTCACCTGAGCGGCAGGTATCCCCGGAGAAGCTCTACAGGGCTGCTCTTTTGAAGAAACGATTTGCAGACACAATTTTAAAAGCTCGAGAAAAGACACTCAACCAGGTGGGTTACAAAACTGGTTCATTGTGACATAAAACCTTGTTTACCAACTACTTTACCCAGCATTATTTACTGTGGATATATGATCCATGCAATTTGATCCTTTTGAGATCAGGGTGAAATGGGGGATCCTGAGAAGTTGCGTCGTGAGAGGGAGGAACTTGAAATGCAGAAACGAAGAGGTTGGGACCTTTGCAACTTATTTTGCTGTATTATATCTTATTATTATCATTGTGTGACCTTCTTTGTGCTCAAAGGTGAAAGGATATATACTATGACACATTCCTTCATGAGTGTACTACTTTGTGACCAGAGAGAGCTCGGTTGCAGGCAGAAGCTAAAGCTGCTGTAGATGCTCGAAGACGAGCAGAAGCAGAGGCTGCAACCGAAGCCAAACGGAAGAGAGAGCTTGAGAGGGAAGCAGCTCGGCAGGCATTGCTGAAGGTGAATGAATTTTTCATTTGTTCCAGAGCAGCTTGACTTCTTTTTTGAATCACACTGATTTTCTGACCCACCGGCAGATGGAAAAGACAGTTGAAATTAATGAGAATTCTCGGTTCCTTGAAGACCTGGATTTGTTAAGGGCTGCCCCTCCCGGGGAATTACCGAGCTCTATGGATGAGGGCAGCCCGGATCGCTCAGAGGATGGCTTGGGTAGTTTCAAGTTTAGTGGCAATAATCCTTTGGAACAACTTGGGCTGTACATGAAAGTGGATGAGGAGGAGGAAGAATGTGAGCCACCTAGTGTTCCGAGTGTTGTAAATGATGTCGAGGAGGGGGAAATTGATTAATTTTTCCGTCTGCTGCTGTTAATGTATCCCATCACCTATGGAGCAAGAATAGAATATTTTGATGCAAAAAATACTTGCCTTGGCACTTGGGCTTTTATTTTGTATGTCATACGAAGGGGGTGGTAAAGTATTAGTTGCCAATGTGTGCAACCATCGAAAGCATCAGTGTGGCTGGAGAGAGTCACTTTTTGAATTTGAATGAGGACAGGATGATAGTACCTGCTGGATTGGAGCGGAAGGTGGATTAGAATATCAACATATGTTTTTGGCATGGAAGATTTCTACATCCAGTAGGCAGTTTCTGGGTGAATATTCTGGTGGGAGAGCTTAAGAAGAAAACAGAACGGTTGCAAGGTGCGTATAGGCCGTGAGAAGTGGCGGCCATCATACATGTGGGAGAAGAAAAGATTGCGAATGAGGTGGTCTATGGGTNGCAGAACGGTTGCAAGGTACGTATAGGCCGTGTGAATTGGCGGCCATCATACATGTGGGAGAAGAAAAGATTGCGAATGAGGTGGTCTATGGGTGTCTAAGAAACACATGGAACGGGATTGCACGCAAGATGTATTGGGGGTACAAAAATAATCGTTTCTTTACGATGTGATGTGATAAGAAAGTGCTTTTTGCTTGCTCTTTGCCATGCCATGGCTGCTCGCTCCCTTTCTTGGATTTGGACCACGGGGTAGTGGGGTTTATTAGCTGGTTTAATACCGCCCCTTATTGCGTCAATATAATATCATCTCCGATGAAAATTTAAATTCTTACTCAAATTTAAACAAAGAAAATGGTAAAAAGTTTAATTTGATATAGACATCTCTAATAAAAATTATAAATTTAAAGAAAAAGAATCTAAAGTTAAATGAGGATAAATTTAAATTTAAAATAAGGTAAAATATTATCATTGAATTTTTGAAGGAAGGTATAATTTTATCATTAAAGATTTGAGTTTAATAATAGCTTATTCTTGATTTGTGTTTAAAAAATAGTTTATCTTTATTTAGTATGGATATGAGTTTAGCATTAGAAAAATATTTTAAATTATTTTTACTCAAATTTAATTTTGTGTACAAAAAAAAAATAAGGGTTGAAAATGCTCTACAACGTAATGGAGTGAACCCCTCACCCTAACAAGGGAAGTCGGTAAATTGTGAATAATGGTAGTTTAATGCACGAGGCATGACTCATGAGTGCGGGTTGAGTGCTTGAATGGATATGTAGTTTATCTCGTATACGAAGAGATTATTATTTCATATAAAATAAGGCAAAAAATTGTGGTTGCAAGATATATATTTATGGTAATTTCCAAAAATCCTCACTCACTTTCCCCCTACCCAGAGCAATTGGATTCCAAAAAATTGAACCCTAACCCTAGTTCCCTCACTTCCAAATCTTCCTATCTTCTTCACGTTGTGTCTAATCTTAATCCACGGCACACCTGCCGTTCTCTTAACCTCTCACTCCATTCTCTCTCGCCCATATTGTGATTTCCTTTCCCAAAACACCGATTATCAAAACTTAGTACTCGATGCATATTTTTTAGAGGTGATAATTTTAATCCATTACTCATTAATTTGCCCATAAATTAATGAGTTGAATACCTATATTAATTTTCATGAGTTTTAGATGAGTTGGGTAATATCATTCATTTTAATTAAACGGGTTAATATATATTACAAATAGGTACCCATTGAATTGAATATTTATCTTTTTATTAAATAACACAAGTAATAAAATTAAATAAATATACTAATAAACCAAAAAATACACACATTATTATACTAAAAAATATACACATATACACTAATACACCAAAACATACACACACTAGTACACCAACAACATACACTAATACACCACCCATGACCCATGACCCATGGATCGACTCATGATCCACGACTTGACCGTGTGACCCATGGGTTGGCCCACTACCCCATGGATCGAACCACAACCCCTATGAGTTGACCCATAATCCACAATCACCCCGACCCATTATTTGTGTATTTTTTTTATTAAATAGATTTTAGTTTTTGTGTTAGTATATGTGCATGTATTTTTAGTGTATTAATGTGTATATTTTTAGTGTATTAGTTTATGTGTGTTTTGTTGTATTAGTGTGTGTGTGTATGTTTATATTTTGGTGTACTACTAATGTGTATGTGTGTATTTTTTGATGTACTATTATGTCTATTAAAAATTTTAATTATTTTATGAGTTAATCGTTTTAACCCAATTCTTTATAAACCTAACTCATTATAACTCATTTACTACACGAGTGAAAAATAAATTGAATTTATTTTAACTTAATCCAATTTAATTCAACCCATAACTAACCCGACCCACCTATTTGCCACCCCTAGGTATGTTATTTTCTGATGGACCTTTGCCACGATTNATGTTTATATTTTGGTGTACTACTAATGTGTATGTGTGTGTGTTTTGATGTACTATTGTGTCTATTAAAAATTTTAATTATTTTATGAGTTAATCGTTTTAACTCAATTCTTTATAAACCTAACTCATTATAACTCATTTACTACACGAGTAAAAAATAAATTGAATTTATTTTAACTTAATCCAATTTAATCCCACCCATAACTAACCTAACCCACCTATTTGCCACCCCTAGGTATGTTATTTTCTGATGGACCTTTGCCACGATTTGATCTTCTACTCCAGTGACATTCTCTTCATCGGCCACCATTTGGCTGCACTCTTCGTCTTCGTCACGTGCCGGTGCGTGGTTTCTCATGGGGCTAATGCTATGAATTGTTTCTCAACAAGAGGTCGGAAAATTTCATTACTAAAAAATGGCTGTGAATTGCTTATGTAGTGACCGTTCAGTAGCTCATATTTGAGAATTCTGCAAAAATTTCTATGCAATTTGTGGTTTTTCAAGTCAATGAAAGAAGTCTAGGTAATCAATACACCTGCCTGGTTGTTTCACAGCTCGAAGTTAGGTTTTGCTTTATTTACTATTACCATCAAACACAATTTTGTTTTTTTGATTGAGCTAACCGTTTTAGAACAGTTAGCATTCAATCCAACCATGGTAGACATTGGATTGGACCATTTAGTAGGATGAGGTCCAAAGATATATGCTAGCCTACATGGCTCAGGATATTACATTTCCTTTGGATAAATGCCTCAAGATATAGCATAAAACTTGGTTTGGACAGACAGTTGTTAAAAGCTAACAACAACATATTGTACACACATATCAGGTGACATGTTACAAAGTGAAAAATGTTCAGTAACAGAAACGAGGCTTGATTACTTACTAAATTCACGAGGCTGCATGGATCTAGGTAGTGTCTTTGTCTTTCCGTCTCTTGACTACCCAATTGTCTCACTTCTAATTCAATTAATCAAGCCATTGAGGAAACAAAATGGTCGTAAATCTCATATGGCTGCTGCCTGGCAGCTGGTGCTTTCACAGGTTTGCCAGGAGCACCACAACAGAAGTATTGATTCATCAGCCTCTTGTTGATCGACCCTTCTCTGTAAATGGAGGTTGGTGTTCCTTCATTATGTGTTTGAGTAGAGCAAGATGGACCTGCTGTAACATTGTCAATGTAGACACCTTTCTGCTTATCCGATGAACTATGTGAAGATACCGATAATTTGGAGAAGGAACTAGAACGTGATCGACGTGGAACATTTAGATGTGGCATAGCCTGCATGACGCCGTGCACCAGCCCCGTAGCAAGTTTCTTTTTGGCAGTTGGACTAGGAAGATTACTCCTAGCAGAAAGTGTCCGCTTGTTAGTAAGTGATGATGAAGGCTTGGAAAATCTTTGCCGAAGGGGGATTGGAGTTCCTTGTGGGACATTCACTGATTTTCGATCTACCATTTCCTTAAGCCTCTTGGGATTTCTCTCTTTCATCCTCGACCATTGGAGCAGGCGTTTCAAATGGTGCGCAGCAGAATTTGCGGAACTTGGTTTCTTATCTTTGTTGGGACTTTGGTTCTCCATGGTCAAGTCATGTTGACTCAGTTCTGCTGAATATGGGCTCAATCTTGCACTACCACTGGCATCTGATGCATTCTCAATGCCTGTGTACAAAAATATTTCTGTGTCAGAGATTCTGAAGGAAGTTCCTGGACTGCCTCCAATACTTTGCTTCTTTATATGGGAAGCAATTATTTTTCTTGCCGAATAGTCCTGACAACCGAAGATTCCACCAGCTGAGATCAACTGTCTGGTCAGTATTTCCGATGATGCAGACCGTGGATGTTGCCTAATGAGATCAAGCGGAGTCATGCCATCTATATCACGGATGTTAACATCAATTGAACGGACAGTCATCAGTAATTCTACTAAATCAGAATGAATGTTCCCCATGATGGCCAAATGAAGAGTGGTTCTACCATCATTATTTTTGGCATTAATGATTTCTTCAATGTTGAAAATTTTCCCACCTAATAATTGCTTCATGAGCTCAATCCGGTGGTCCAACCTTCGAAAGCCAGGAGTTTGGAAACCAGTAACGGCCATATGCAGAAACGTTTCTCCAGAATTGTTTTTGGAATAGATGGATGAAGGGGATGCAAGAATTAGGGCTTCAACCACAGCCAATTGTCCCCTGTATGCAGCCAAGTGCAATGCTGTGTTGCCTTGATTGTCTGAGGCGTTGATGATATCAAAAGATGCAACAAGATCTTTAACTGCCTGCATCATAACAACATCGAACGTATGAGTTCAAATCTCTTATCCCTGCAAGTGAACCACTGTGGGGATGCATCGAGATAGGCCAAGAAAACCAACTTTACCTTTCTACGTTTCCAGGAAGAAAATAACTGCTAAACAAAAAGGGGTTTTAATGACTATTATTTTTATTATTAGCATCATTGTGATCATTGTCGTTGCTGTTGCTGCTATTTTATGGGGAGCATCAAGCATGTGTCTTACAACCCTATAATTAACTTTCAGAACATAGTAGAGAACAGGGCTTAACCCTTTGATTATATGTATGGCTGAAGGTGGGTTGAGACCAGAAAACTGCATACTTGATTGGACAACTAAATTTTGGCTAAGCCAAACTAAGAGGAGATAAATAAGTGACTGAGATTAACAGATAAATATCTTTGACCTGCCTAGGATTTGGGCTGCAAGGCAGTGTTTGTTGCCTTTCCTAAGTATGACCAAATCTGTACATTTTGCATTTCCCCTCAGACTACGCAAGATGGCTGCTCCACATAACTAAAAAAGACATGCCAGATTAAAAAACAGGGCATTTTTCATGCACGCTTAACTGCGGAGTTTTGATGGAAAGAACAACTGGAGATTGGCTGACACTTCAGGGCTCAAAATTTAACATACGAGCAGTATCAACCATTTACGAGAGTGAGCAACTGATTAATCTACTATACTCAACTCAACCTGACTCAATAAAACCTTAACCCAAATGATTAAGCTGTTGTCAACAACAAAATGTGTAACCTGCCATACATCACTAGTAGCTAATCAAAAGCTATTTAATGCCCTGGGACTTTAAACTTGCAGCACATAGCAGATAGAAAGACTAAAACTAAACACTATGATATAGAAAAGTGAAGAGTCTCACCTCAGCTTGTCCTCTGGCAGCAGCTGCATGCAAGATAGTAGAGCCCTGAATATCTCTATATGTCAAAACATCAGAGCAATCACCACCCAGAAGCTCCTTCAACATCTTCGAATTACCCCCTCTTGCAGCAGCATGAACAGCTCTATTCATCATCTCCCACTTATAAGCAGAAGGAATATCCCCAATCTGTTCCTCCAATTCTCTTCCATTACCAGAAAAAAACCTTGGCGACACAGCAAAATCAAGCACAAGCCTAAAAACTTCACAATTCTTACTCCTAGCCGCTGCATATAGTATATCAGTGACCCCATATTCGCCTTCTCCGAAAACTAGCAATGGGTCTTTCTCCAGCAATTCTTGAACAAAACCCAAGTCTCCGGCCGAGGCGGCGGTGTACAGAAGCCACCCGCCATAGCCGGCTCGAATGAGAGAGTTTTTCCCTTTCTTGTTTTCACACTCGAAAAGTAGCTTTTTCGCAACTTCTGAGCGACACTTGGCTACATCATCGAACTGCTCTTCGTCGTCCCAGACAGTTTCGAGGCGGCGGACACGGCGGAGAGAGGTGAGTTTGATAAGGTGGTTGCCATCAAGGCGAAGGAGTTCACGGACCAAGTCGTAGTGTCCATTGGCGGCGGCCCAATCGACTGGGGAAGCGTACCACCACTGGTCTCCGGTGCTCTCCCACCGGAGAGGAAAGTATGTTGGAGGCATTAAGAAGAGGAAAAACTTGAAATCAATGGAATTTCACGAACAAAGAGCAACAACTCTTTGGTGAAATCAAGCCAAATACCTTCGTGGCTAGACTCAAATCAACAAGGACATGCTGTAATTTCTTGGTGCTCGTTATATTGATTTATTTAATCTATAAAGCAATTCAACATTCCATGAAATAATTGAAATGCGTGATTGACCATATTGAGTTTCAAGCTGTAGACTATAACAATTGAAGAAAGCTTGAGCTAGAGAAGAAGAAGAAGAAAAAGAAGAAGAAGAAGAAGAAGAAATCCTCTTAGTGACACCTGTTAGAGAAACAAGAACTCCTGTTAAAGCTTGAATAAGTACTGTAAAATATTGGTATGAGCTGTTGAACTACCTGCAGTAATAGCAATTTAGAGGTCTGACAAAGTAGATGAAGAACTACAGAAGAATCACATGAGAAAAGCGATATTTACCCATTAGAGANGTTAGAGAAACAAGAACACCTGTTAAAGCTTGAATAAGTACTGTAAAATATTGATATGAGCTGTTGAACTACCTGCAGTAATAGCAATTTAGAGGTCTGACAAAGTAGATGNAAAGAAGAAGAAGAAGAAGAAGAAATCCTCTTAGTGACACCTGTTAGAGAAACAAGAACTCCTGTTAAAGCTTGAATAAGTACTGTAAAATATTGGTATGAGCTGTTGAACTACCTGCAGTAATAGCAATTTAGAGGTCTGACAAAGTAGATGAAGAACTACAGAAGAATCACATGAGAAAAGCGATATTTACCCATTAGAGATGATGACAAGAACAGAGACATAATTAATGGTATCAATTAGTTGATATGAGAGAGAGGAAAAAGAATGAAGCCATCATTAGCCTCAGGAAGCAAACCCACAAAAAAGGAATATTCCCTACAAAAGAAGTGTTTAAGATGATGAGGAAAGGACTATATTGTTAAGCCAAAACTCAACAATTTGCAGTAAGGAACAAGATGGATGCGAAGATTGGTTTTTATAAATATTTGGGTGTGTTTATGGCCAGAAGAACAAATTCTGAAACTGTGATACAGAAAGGAAAAAGTTGATCATAAACCCAAATGAAAAGGAGAGCTCCCCTTTTGACTACTGAAAGAGCAATTAAAGATGCATAGGTCAGAGGGAGGGAGGNTGAAGATTGGTTTTTATAAATATTTGGGTGTGTTTATGGCCAGAAGAACAAATTCTGAAACTGTGATACAGAAACCCAAATGAAAAGGAGAGCTCCCCTTTTGACTACTGAAAGAGCAATTAAAGATGCATAGGTCAGAGGGAGGGAGGGAGGTATTGTGTGCAGATGTTTTTAATATATTTTTATGCAATTAGGTAGATATTTTAATAAATAGGACAGTAATAGAGTATTTTGTGGATGATTTCTTAGGTGATTACTAAAATAATGGGAGTCTATGTGTTAGTTATTAAGGTAATTTTATTATATTGTATTTAAATGTCTTCTTATCAATGAAATGGATATGATGAATAATATATTAATCTTTCTTATGGAGTTTTAGAGATAAGTTCTTCTTGAATTGAACTATCGGAGGTTATCCCCGAAACGGATTTTTTGTCAATTCTAACAAGAGGTTTTAGAGGTAGGAAGGTTTCCCAATATATAAATGGCTAACATGACCCAGAAAATTTTGGTGGCTGAGCACAGACAGCAGTTGAGCAAATTTCAAGTCTTGCCTACCCAAAAACTAGAAAGTTTCAAATATTCAAAGTCCAGGTTATGTAAAAATTATTGTTGTTCACCCAATTTTTCAGGTTATTGGTTACTCAATTAATAATTCAAGAAATGCGTGGAACAATTTGCTAGTGGGGTTGCTTGACTCAATCTTTTTCTTTTCTCTGTTTGATAGTCAAGGACTCCATCATTTTCTACTTTACTGGCTCTGCCACTGCCTTTTCTTACTGATTTATTTGGTAGAGATTCTAGCACTTGGGTGAGGATCATCTTCAGTTAAAAAATTAATTGTAGAGGTGGTGTTAATTAAAATGATATCATTTTTGTGCANCGCGTGGAACAATTTGCTAGTGGGGTTGCTTGACTCAAATCTTTTTCTTTTCTCTGTTTGATAGTCAAGGACTCCATCATTTTCTACTTTACTGGCTCTGCCGCTGCCTTTTCTTACTGATTTATTTGGTAGAGATTCTAGCACTTGGGTGAGGATCATCTGCAGTTAAAAAATTAATTGTAGAGGTGGTGTTAATTAAAATGATATCATTTTTGTGCAAAACGAAATGTGGAGGAGCCGGACCCCTGGCACTTTCTATGAGGATTTAGATGCGGAGTTCAACAATTCTGGGAAGTGGCCGGTGACTTGACGCTATTGCAAACACAAATGGAGTTCTTATTAGAATGATTCTAACACAAATGGAGTTCTTATTAGAATGATTCTAACTCTTATTGCACGGAATAATTCCTGCAATAGTATGAGACAACGATCTTCCAATTAACGAATCTGAAATAACAGGGTCAGAAAAAAGGGAGTCAGGCGAATGCCTAACTAATTTCCTCCGAAGCTTAAGTAAGTATAAGATTGAAGGGTTTTGCTCAATGGACTATTTTTCTGAGGAGTATTTATACCNTGATTCTAACTCTTATTGCACGGAATAATTCCTGCAGTAGTATGAGACAACAATCTTCCAATTGACGAATCTGAAATAACAGGGTCAGAAAAAAGGGAGTCAGGCGAATGCCTAACTAATTTCCTCCGAAGCTTAAGTCAGTATAAGATTGAAGGGTTTTGCTCAATGGACTATTTTTCTGAGGAGTATTTATACCTGAATGAGCAATGATTGACAAAGATCTTCAGTCTCATCTGGACATCTTACATCTGACACACCATTCCTCGTGCAATGAGTGTTTTCTATTCACGTCTCCTCCTATTGAATGCTAGGAAAATAGGGTAAATACTCGGCCAAATGCCGAGCATTTATGCCACTCTTCGAGTACCCAAATCTCCCAGATCGGCATCTGACATCAACTGAGCATTGAATACTTGGGGGGAACAGTTCCTCGGGAGAGTCGATTACGTCGTCTCGGTGCATCAGTCATTAATGCTTAGTCATCATGACAGTAGACTTAAACTCCCAGAGGGCAGGTGCTGACAGGCGCGCATTTATTTGTCTTGTCACTATCACTCATTCCGCCATGAATGAGGGGTCACATCGCATTAAATACGATGTCAGCTATTGTACTCGGTTGCTCCGTGTCACTATACCTCGGCTTACCTCCTCGGCACCCTTTGAATATCCCAACGGCTTCATTATTCCATGTGTCAGCCCAGGAACTGTAGAGCCACCTAGNACGCACATTTATTTGTCTTGTCACTATCACTCATTCCGCCATGAATGAGGGGTCACATCGCATTAAATACGATGTCAGCTATCGTACTCGGTTGCTCCGTGTCACCATACCTCGGCTTACCTTCTCGGCACCTTTTGGATATCCCAACGGCTTCATTATTCCATGTGTCAGCCCAGGAACTGTAGAGCCACCTAGAGTCCTATCAACTGCCCCCCAGCCGCCATTCTTTTCGCAGTGTAAGACAAGTGGCATAAATAAATTGGGGGCTCTATCATCATGCTTTAGTAATAGCAACGGTTACTTGCACGTCTGGTGTCGCCCTTTTCAAATGCCCTAATTATAACCCAACTTTTCGATTCCCGTTCCCTGTGAGACATTATAAATAGGAGGTTTTCATACCTTCTTAGAACTTTTGCATCCTCAACCTCTCTTCAGCAATCAGACCCCGAGTGCTCCTCTGTTCTCCTCCGGGTTTTCTTTGTCCTTCGAACTCTCTCTTTGAAGACCAGCTTCCTGTAAGTACTTTCACTTGAGCTTTTTCTCTCTTCATTTCCACTATATTTCGTCCTTTTAGCGCCCACCAATGATTAAAACTAGTAGAACCAGGGGGGAGACGTCTGCTAGGGCTAGGACTATCCACAAGATGAGGAGAACCCAAGTGACTTATGAGAATATCCAATCCTTTAGGGTTAGGTACCACATCTGTGAGCCTGTCGTTGCTTTTCCCTTCGATCCCACTCACCATAGGAGGGATATGAGAAATGTGGACATGATGTCTTTCTAGACGAAGGTCATAATAGAGGGAGGGNTTTACTTTTCCCTTCGCTCCCACTCACCATAGGAGGGATATGAGAAATGTGGACATGATGTCTTTCTAGACGAAGGTCATAATGGAGGGAGGGTTGACCTTCCCCCTCCATCCCCTGTTACTGGGAGTGTTGATGCAACTGAAGTTCTTTCCCCTTCAATGTGAGGTTAACTTCTTTAGGATTGTGATGGGCGTAGTCGCCTTAAACGCTCGGCTGGGGACTAACTTAAGAGTAGATGAAATTTTATTCTGCTACGACCTGAGGCTAGTCACCGGGGGACGATATTACCTCCAGGCTTGAGACGTCTCAATGTATCTAGTAACCCACATGCCCGACTCAGACAAGGGGTATGTAGACGATCTGATCATGCTTAGCAAAAATTGGGAGAAAGGGACCGAGCCCGAGTATGATGGATTGTACTACCTCAAAGTACCGAGGGATGAAGGTGTGTTTTCTTTCCGACTTCTTGATNTAGCAAAAATTGGGAGAAAGGGACCGAGCCCGAGTATGATGGATTGTACTACCTCAAAGTACCGAGGGATGAAGGTGTGTTTTCTTTCCGACTTCTTGATTTTGCTATTCTTGGGTCCGACGGACACACTAATTTTGCTTTGCTTTTGTAGAAGGATATCGTCGGGACGCTACTCAACCATTGAGGTCCCAAGTCTGATTTGCGGACTTGCTAAGGGTTTGGTCCTCGGACCCAGTTGAGCGAGCGGCGTATACTCTCCTCGGCTACACGTCGACTTACAGTCGATTCTCCCAGATCTCACCTCCTTTCAACCTTTCTGTTTGGGAAGACCATTCCTCATCGAAAGAGGAAGAATCCAAGGGAGATTCTGAAGAAGAGTCTGATCATCACGCTCCTGAGCCCCTTGCGCTTGAAATGTTTGATTCACCACCAGTCACCGCTACTACAATGGAGGTCGCCGCCGCGGCAA